GCATGAATTCGTGCAACTTGAAAGGAACTGTGCACCAGTGAGGTTGTGGTGGGCACAGGGGTGGGACTTGCTCATTCTCCGTGGCCCCCATCTTCCCGTCCCCTCTCTGCTGGCAGCCTGCTCCCTCCATTGCTGCTGCTCTCACTAATTGATGGCACTAGCTCCACTCGCACCTGCTGATGGTACGGAGTGATTGGGGCAGGTGCGAGCAGCGGCTACCGCCCTAATCACCCCTCAGGAGCAGGGGCAGATGGAGAAGTCCTGAGGGACGATTGGGGCCCGCACTGGCTGCAGGTTCCAGTGCCGGGTGGGACCACAGTGTGCAGGAGCAAAGAATTTTCAGTAGCCACCAGAGGCCTGCCCTGATGACAGCGACCAGCACCCTGCCGTGGTCTGGTGCCTCCGCTCACCTGCTCCACCATCCCGCTGCGGCCAGCGCCCATCATGTTCCACGCTCTGCCACCTGCTGCCTATGCCCGTCATGTTCTGTGCATTGGTTATTCTGCCATTCAATCTACTTGTATATTAGGATTCTATATGTATAGTTTATTTTAATTTTTTATTTCAGAGCGGAAGGGAGATGGAGAGAGAGAGAGAGAGAGAGAGAGAGAGAAACATCAGTGATGAGAGAGAATTATTGACTGGCTGCCTCTTGCACACACCCTACTAGGAATTGAGCCTGCAACCCAAGCATGTGCCCTTGACTGGAATTGAACCTGGGACCCTTCAGTCTGCAGACCGATGATCTATCCACTGAGGCAAACCAGCTAGGGCTGTTCTCTATTTTTAAATGGTCCGTTTGGTTTTTTACTTTAAAAAGTCATTAACGACCTCGCCAGCATGGCTCAGAGGTTGAGGGTCAACCTAACCCTAATCCTAACCCTAACTCCCCCACCATGTATACAGGTCATATTTTCCTGTTTCTTTGCATGTCTCATAATGTGTTTTTTGGAAACTGGTCATTTTAAATGATACATTGCAGCAACCCTGGGTACTGATTTCTCATCTCATCCCTTGGGGCTTGTTATTGTTATTTGCTTATTTATTTGTTTAGTGACTTGCTGGATTATTTTAGTGAAGTCTGTACCACCCCATCTCCCTAGTGATTCGCCTCTGGTGGTGTTCCTCAGGGAGGCACAGCTTAGGGATACCTGTAGTCCCCCTGCACGACATTACTGTAGGGCTTTCCTTCCTTGACCAACCCGGCTGTTAAATTCCACTAATTGCCCATGTTACTTTTATTTTCAACAATGCCCTGAGGCATAAATTCCTTTACCGACTAATCCAATCAAACTGGGGATCCATGAGGGAAGGGAAAGTTTTTGAGGTCAGTGTTTGCTATGTGTTCTGTCCCCCAGAGAGCTCCTTCCAGAAGTCTTATCGCCTGGCTCTCTCCTGCAAACTATCTGGCCGATAGTTTTCCTTTAGGCTGTATCTTGGGAAACGTCGATGTAATGGACTAATTTGATATAATGGACTAATTCAGGTGAGGGGGAGAGTCCATTAAAACTGAAAGTCTGTTTTATAATAGGATCCCCACAGTAGGTTTTCTGAATGTTTATGTTAAAAAATTGACAAATTAATTTACCTGTTTTTACTTATGCAGATACATTTGTATAGTTAAAGTATGTATGTATTTCCATACATTAAGTATGCACGGAAAGTTTAACTCCACAGAAAAGTTTTCTATATGTGTAAGAATAATTTTATTTATTTTTAAAATATATTTTTATTAATTTCAAAGAGGAAGGGAGAGGGAGAGATAGAAACGTCAGTGATGAGAAAGAGTCATTGATCGGTTGCCTCCTGCACACCTCACAATGGAGATCAAGCTGGCAACCCGGCATGTACCCTGACTGGGAATCAAACTGTGACCTCCTGGTTCATAGGTTGACACTCAGCCACTGAGCCACGCTGACAGTAATTTTAAATTTATACTGAATGGGTTTAGTAAATGTGTGCATTCCCTACTCACTGAAAATAAACAAATGCACATGGCTGGGGCATGGCCTAATGCATGGGGGAACATTTGCCAGCATGTGTTAAAATTACAGCAGAAAGTCATGCCATGCTGCAACCGAAGCATGCAGTGCAATGTGATCACATGCTGAATGAGAACAAGTGATGACTCTTGGATTTAAATACCTGTCTCCTATCTAATAAAAGAGTAATATGCAAATTGACTGTCACTCCAAGACACAAAGGATGGCCACCACAAGATGACTGGTGGGGAAGGGCAGTTATGGCCAGTTGGGGTGACCAGGCCAGCAAGGGAGGGCAGTTGGGGGGGAGGGGAGACTCAGGCCTGCAGGGGAGGGCAGTTGAGGGGAACCCAGGCCTGCAGGGTAAGGGAATTGGGGGGGACCAGGCCTTCAGGGGAGGACAGTTGGGGGTGACCAGGCCTGCAGGGGAGGACAGTTAGGAGTAACCATGCTCATAGGGGAGGATAGTTACGGACAATCGGGCCAGCCGGGAAGCAATTATCAGGCGGGCAGTGGAGTGGTTAGGGGGTGATCAGGCTGGCAGGCAGAAGTGGTTACAGGCAATCAGGCAGAAGCAGGCAAGCGGTTGGGAGCCAGCAGTCCTGGATTGTGAGAGGGATGTCCCAGATTGGAGAGGGTGAAGGCTAGGTTGAGGGACAACCCTCCTCTGTGCACAAATTTCGTGCACCGGGCCTCTAGTATATATATGAAAGGCTAGCTGAAACCAGTTTGGTTCAGTGGATAGAGTGTCGGTCTGCGGACTGAAAGGTCCCAGGTTTGATTCCAGTCAAGGGCATGTGCATTGGTTGTGGGCACATCCCCTGTGGAGGTGTGCAGGAGGCAGCTGGTCAATGTTTCTCTCTCATTGATGTTTCTAGCTCTCTATCCCTCTCCCTTCCTCTCTGTAAAAAAGTCAATAAAATATATTTTTAAAAAATCTATTATGCTAAGTGTCTATCCTGGTGTCTTTCCTGGTAATGATGTCATGTATCAACATCTGGCTTCCTCTCCCTAGCAGCTACTAGCCTTCTTGCAGTTTCTTCAGCCCAGAAACACAACTTGCTTTATAGCCAGGTGGAAACATTTCACACTTAAACCGAATGTCTGTGAAGTGTTTTCCCATGCCTCATTTCATTTGATCCTACAGAAGTCCTGGAGTAGGTAGATAGGAGACTCGATGGAATCCTATTGTCATTAGCTGGAAAATGGAGATTTAGAAAGTTAAGAAACTTGACCCAATTGAAAAGAAGTAAGAAATGGGTGGACCTTGAAAATGACTTCAGGTTTTCTCACTGTGCAGAATATAGTCAAACTCTGCTGCAGTTATTTTACCCTTTGTTCTGCCTGCGTGATCTACAATAATAATCTGCTTCATGTTGATATACTGCTGTGTTGCTGACAATTACCTGAAAGAGAAATTGTGGTGGTTCACTGGGCTGGAAAAAGTTTAGCTACATCAGAAAGCCGGTCTAATTAAGCTAATTTATTCTATATATTTAAAAAGTTAAGTTGAGTTGCGCATGCATGATACATATAAAGCTCTTGCTGGCGCCAGTCGCACACGTGTTTTGATCTGTCATTGTTGATTGTGAATTTGGTTTACACTTCTGTTATAGAGAAGGTGAATAGTGATATTAAAATATTTTTTCTGATTAATTTCAATGTGCATGAATTCGTGCACCGGGTCACTAGTGTAGATTATAATTTGTAGATATGTAATATTTATGTTGGCAAAATTACTAGTGTTTTTTCCAACATATGGCCAGTTTGCTAAAATTTGTTAAAAATGACAATAAATTAATAACAAAAAGAATACCCTGTTAATTCAATTATAAGGAAATCTGGTTAAAAGCATTTTGAAATTAACAGGGTAGTCATATTCACATATTACATATGGATTGGAAATTTTGTCCATTAAATCTGAAGTCTGTTTAATCAAGGCCCACAAAATTGAGGGTTTACTGTAATCTCATTTTGGTCACCTTTTACTACCACCACTGTTCTGGTCCACACTCTTGGGAAGAGATTTCTTATTATGGGTTCCAGCTTTCCCCCCTAGGCCAAATGTCTGAGCCAGGGTTCTGGAGCTGGGGAGGGGGGAGAGTGGTGAACTTTTCTGTGAATGACCTCCTTGCTCTAGGAGCTGAGCCCTGGGAAGGAGGAGGAGGGGGAGGGCAAGGGGTGTGTGTGTGTGTGTGTGTGTGTGTGTGTGTGTGCGCGCGCACACACACACCTGTTTTATCTCTCCTCACCCAGGAAGAAAGCTCTTGGACTGAGAGCTGAGGAGAGAGGGAGTCCTGTGTTATGGCTGCAGCAGTCTGTAGCTTTGCTGAGAAGGAAGAGAGGAGGGGAGGGAGTGGTCTTATTCCAAATACCATAGACTTTTCACCTTTCAAACTGAATTGTCATAGATTTTATTGAATAATTGTTTCTTTATTTGCTGTTTGCCCTTAGAGATCATTTCCAGAAGCTTTGAATAGTTGTTGGTTTTTTGTTGTTGTTGTTTTTAATAGTCTGTACCAGTTTCACTGAGGAATGGGCTAGCAGAGCTTCTCTTGCTATTAGGCTCTGAAAAATCCTTCTCTTGTGACTTTGTGTTTTTTGAAATAGCAGTCATACCTCCTTAAAGCATTTTGTTCAATGCGGTTCCTGACCACCCCTTCATAAGGAACCTTTAACGTATTACTTAACATCTCTGCTTTCAGATATTATCTGTATGAAGAGGCTGAGAGAATTGATTTCTCCTGCTTATATTTTTAAAGAATGAATTCACAACATGTACTCAGAGAAAATCTGCACACAGTACAGTGTTTTATAAAGGAATTGAAAATAATAGTAGAGAATTTTAACATAAGGGTACTGTAGTTGAGTTCTTTTCAAGTTGACTTGGAGACATTGTAGTTACCCCTTGGCTTCTCTGTCAGGTGACATACGGTAGACATCAGAATCAACAGGCTTCTTCCTCACTTTTGCTTTATCTTAAATTAGTTTCTTTTAATTCCTTTTTTTGTCTTTCAGGGGCCACTTAATAGCGAGTCATCAAACCAGAGTTTGTGCAGCGTGGGTTCCTTGAGTGATAAAGAAGTAGAGGTAAGAAGCCAGATATGTTACAAGACTTTTCATATTTCAACAGTTTCAGTCTGGGAGAAAAGATAATATAACTTCAGGGATGCTGTTAAGGTCTGTGCTGTTTAAGTTGTGTGCTCTTTGAGTGTATTTTTTAATTTTAATTTTTTCCTTTTTATTGAATTTACTGGGGTGATACTGATTGACAAAATTATACAAGTCTCAGGTGCATAATTCCACATCACATTATCTGTACACTGTACTATGTGGCCACCACCCCAAGTTAAGTCTTCGTCACCATTTATTCCCCCTATATTCTCTTCCACCTCCCCCACCTCCTTGTATCTGTATTTCTTTCAAATTTTTGCTTAGTTACCATCAATAAAGGTCAGGTATTTGCAGTTGTATCTGAATTAATTTAGATGCCCTTGAATTTTAATGCTTGTTAGTACTCTGATGTGTGGGTCAGTATATCAGTATAGCCTGGCCAGGTTTAGTAATAGAATTTGAAGAAATTTTTTCAGGCAAAAACTTAGCTGCATGGATATGGGTCCAAGTCTGCAGCTACCTATTTTGCATTTCAACAGAACTTTCAATAAATTAGAGCCAGTTGATTGATTATGCAGGTCTATCCTTTTTGGAAAAAGAATTGGATTTAAGCTCTTATAAAGTATATAGCAGCTCTTAGGATATTTTGGCAAGCCTACTGTATGCTAGATATTTGTACTACATTTGTGCTTTATAAATATTTAGGCTTTGCGGCAACGCTAATTTACAAACAAGTAAATAGAAGCTCTGATATTTTAATCAGTTTGCCAAAAATTATATAGATGGTGTGGTTCCAGACCTTATACTCTCCATGACCCTGCTCTAAGAACAGGACACTGATTTAGGACTTGTCTGTACCAGTTAAATCTTCTTATAAATTTTGATATTTTGTACATACTCTTTAATTTTCATAATCTGAAAAATTTGACACAATGCTAATTGTGATTTCTATGGTATTTAACAGACTCCTGAGAAAAAACAGAATGACCAGAGAAACCGGAAAAGAAAAGCTGAATCATATGAAACTAGCCAAGGTAGTAATAATTTCACACCAATAGAAATACTAAACTCTTATGTACTGTACTCAGGTAGAATTTTCCATCATACTAGATAATTAGTTTGTATGCAGGGATTCCTAACAAAGGAGCTGTTGTATCTTAAGGGAATATCATGATGTTTATTATAGACTTGCCACTTGAAATACACTTGACAATACAGTGTCAGTTCTTTGGGGCTCATGTTTTCCTATTGTAAGTTAACGATCTTCTGGCCACAGGTTATTTTCTTTCAGACCGAGCATGTATTGTACAGAAAAGAAGTTAACTGGAGCTTCAACTATGCATTAGAACAGTGATTTGTTAATAATTGGTGCCCAGAAATGGTTTTATTTACCTTGCTGTCCTTTCCACCTATTCTTTTTTTGTAACAATTATTTAGTTGGACAATGGCACTCAGTGGAGTAAATCTATAGATGTGACAGTTCTAATGCCAAATATCTTTATATAAAGAAAGAATAAATGGTTGGGCTCTCCTCCCCCACTCCCCTTTGCCTCCTGTAATAGAAGTCCCAGTCTATTTGCATTTTTCTTGTGTGTTTTTTTTTTTAATCTAATTTTTTATTTTTGGGGTGAGGGGTAGAATTCTCCCAAAATGACAAGATCACAAAGTCTTGTGAAATAGAACAAACCCTTTACTTTAAACGAGTTTGTTTTGAATTCTTTGTTCTCTAAGTTGGGGATATGGGTTATAGATTACTTTTATTTTGATTCACAGTTGCGACATAAAAGTGTATTTATAAAGAAAGATTAACAGATCTTAAAGGGAAGCAAGCTGTGAAAAGATCTTTCACTGCTTATTCAGTCTTTCTCCCTGTCCTTATGAGCTAGGTATTTTGCTCATTTGTCAAAAGTAAAACCAGGACTTGAATTGATAACAATGTATGCAGTTATTGAGTACATAGTACATTTTAGTGATTGATAGTTTACATGTGTTACTGGAAAAACTATACTTACTTTGGTTTCATTTTCAGGGAAAGGCACACCTAGGGGACATAAAATTAGTGATTACTTTGAGGTAAGTTAAATTTTTGGGGGGAAGAGAATCAATTTTTAAATAAAATTTTGCTTTATTTAAGGCTTTAGAAAGCAATATTTTTCTTTCACAATGCTTTCCTTCCCATCTTCATCTGTCTTATGCCATCCAATTTCTCTCTATAAGAGGGAACTGCTGCTGGCTTTCTGAATTTAAATTTGTTTATGATATGTCATGTCTGTGATGATATAAAAATTCACAAATGAGGTGATTTTTTTCTTGGCCAGACTAGGTTTTGTGTCTTACAAAGATTGAAGTTGAGTAACTTGGACTCTTCTCTTTAGTCCAGTGGGACACGTTGTGAGCTCACTGACCCATCGTCAGTGGTTACTAAAGAAGACGCTAACATCCACTAGACCACTATATTTCTGCTTCGTGTATTTGGTGACAAGAAGGGAAAACATTCTTCTCTTATGTTTTTCAAACCCACTTCTATCCATGTTTCTTGGTACATTTCTGCTGGAGTTCCTTGTTAAAAATCTCATGGAAAAGATAACAAAACTTCACTTACGGCATTTTCTTTCTAGAATAAGATGTATTGACTTAGAGGGGCCATATGTAATGAAGACCTGTTTGTGTATTAATCTTTTACTCTCCTTATCTGAAGCATAGTACTGTTTTGAATTATTCATATCCATTTTTCCCTGTTGGCCAGTTTGCTGGGGGAAGCGGGCCAGGAACCAGCCCTGGCAGAAGTGTTCCACCAGTTGCACGATCCTCACCGCAACATTCCTTATCCAATCCCTTACCGGTAAGCATTCACCTGGAGAAACTTGACACCTGTTGCAGGAGACAAGAAACCCAGGAACACTCAAGCAAAATTTCTCTTAAATTAATCACTCAATGGGAATGAGGCAGTAAGGAGAAAAGTTCATAATATTACCTCTGAATCAGTCATTTAGATTCAAATCTATATATAGTAAATTAATGTTTCACAAGAGCTAACTCTATTCTCAGTATAATAAATTCCCTCTAAGCCTACAGCTCAGTGTTCTGTCAAGGAAATAGTTTCCTATCCAAACAGTTTTGTTTTTTTTATCCTTGACAAACTTATATGTTCCTATAAGTGTATTTTTTAAAAACTTTGGTTAGCTCCTGGCATTTCAATTATTTTTTAAGACTTAATTGGTGACATAGCAGAGAAGCTAATGCTATACAAATTTGAGATAGGTTTGTTTACTGCCTATAACTGAGATCTGAAGGTCTTAAACACATTATAGCCAAATTAGTGGTTTTCAACTAGGCACTTTTGCTCCTCAGTGGACATTTGCCAATGTTGGCATAATTTTTAGTCACAACTAGGGGTGGAGGGATGGTACCATTGGCATTTAGTGGGCAGAGACCAGGGATGCTGGTAAACATCCCACAGTGCACAGGAGAGGCCCCCACAGAACTATACTAGCACAGGAAATGTAGTTATACCAGCCTCCAGAAACCTCCCTTATTCTCACTTCCAGTTATAGACCTCTTCCTGCCATCCAGAATACCTACTATCCGGACTTCTAACAGCGTAGATGAGTTTTTCTTATTTTTATACTGTGTATAAAAGGAACCATACAGTATATACTCTTAGTCTGACATTCTTTTTTTTTTTTTTTTGATCAGCATTACTTTTGTGAGATTCATCCATATTATTGTGTGTTACTGTAGATCATATTTGGTGTGTAGTATAGTTTTAATACATTTTAATTTATAAGCTATATGTTTTAATTTTTAACTATATGATTTACCTATTACCCATCTTCTCCCTCTAAAATATTCATCCCATGAGAGCAAGGGCTTGGCTTTGTTTTGTTTACTGCTGTTTTCATTTATCACAGTACTTATTACTTTACATAAAGGTATAATTATTTTAATTATTTCTCTTACTTGATATGGAATATCTTGGCAAGATAATATCTTGTTCAGTTTTCAGTCTCTAACATCCCAAAATAGTGTTTGGCGCACAGTGGGTATTGAAGTCTTGAAAGGGAAGAATATATGGATAAAGAATTGCTTAGTGCCCTGGCCCGTGTGGCTCGGTTGGAATGTCGTCTGTGCACTAAGGTGTCACAGGTTTGATTGCCGGTTGGGGCATCATGCCCAGGTTGTGAGTTTGATCCATGGTTGGGGCTAGTGCCAGGAGGCAACCAATTGATGTTTCTCACATTGATGTTTCTTCTCTGCCCCCCCCCCCCACTTCCCTTTTTCTTTTCCTCTAAAATCAATAAAAAAGATAGCTTTGGGTAAGGATTGCTTTTGCTTCCTCCCCCCAAGTAGTTTTTTTGTATTTTTTAAATTTAAGCAAAAGTACATAAAACAGCCCTAGCTGGCTTGGCTCTGTGGATAGAGGGTCAACCTGTGGACCGAAGGGTCCCAGGTTTGATTTCAGTCAAGGGCACGTACCTCAGTTGCAGGCTCCTGGCCCTGGTCAGGGGCATGCAGGAGGCAACCAATCGATGTGTCTTTCTCACATCGGTGTTTCTCTCTGTTTCTTTCTTTCCCTTCCACTCTTTCTAAAAATCAATGGAAAAAGATCATATATTATATATATATATCTATATATATATATATATATATATATATCCCCTAAGGTGAGGATTAAAAAACAACAACACATAAAATACCATTTTAATGAAAGAGTTGGTAAACTATAGCCCACAGCTGGCAAGCTAAGAATGAGTAGGTTTTTAAAGAGTTACAGAGACAAAGAAAAATATATGTCAGGGAGAATGTATGGCTTTAAAGGCTAAAATATTTGTCTAGTTTTTCACAAAAAATGCTTACCAGAAATTACTATAAAGTTAACTCTGTGTAATAGTTAGGTCAAGAAATAAACTACTCCAGCTTCTTAGAAACTTATATGTGCTCTTCCCTGATCATATCTCCCCCTCTCTACACTAGAAACAGCTGCTATTCTAATTTTTGTGATTATTTGCTATTCCTTACAGTTGATCATCCATGTATACCCTAAATAAAACAGTTTAACTTTGTGATTAAGTCAGTTTTGTTAATCATGATGTGCTTTGTTTTTTATTTTATATGGCGGGGAGGGCAGGTCATAATACTATGTGCTTTTATTATGTTTTTCTCCATCATCTTGACTGGAACCCTTAGCCATGATGTTTAATCAGTGTTTAAATCTTTTGTGTTCTTATTCTGTCAGTTAGGCTGTTTGTTCTGTCAGTTACTATCTATCACATCTTTCATAATTTGAGAAGTTGTCTATTTCTTCCTGTATTTAAAATTTTGCTCTATGTATTAAGTGTATGTATTCATTTCTTGTGATTTTTTTTTTTTTTGCTCTAAATGCAATTTATGTGATATTTAATATAACTAACTTTACCCTGCTCCCAAATAAATGAGTACCTCAGAACATTAACTCAATTTGCCTGCTACTGACTTGGTGGTAGTATGTTTTTATTTTGCCTTTTTAATATATATATATATATATTTTTTTTTTTTTTAATATATTTTATTGACTTTTTACAGAGAGGAAAAGAGAGGGATAGAGAGTTAGAAACATCGATGAGAGAGAATCATTGATCAGCTGCCTCTTGCACACCTCCTACTGGGGACGTGCCCGCAACCAAGGTACATGCCCTTGACCGGAATCGAACCCAGGACCTTTCAGTCTGCAGGCCGATGCTCTATCCACTGAAAGCCAAACCGGTTTTGGCAAAAATATATATATATATTTTATTGATGTTTTTACAGAGAGTAAGAGAGAGTGATAGAGAGCTAGAAACATTGATGAGAGAAAAACATTGACTAGCTGCCTTCTGCACACCCCCCACTGGGAATGTGCCCACAACCAATGTACATGCCCTTGTCCGGAGTCAAACCTGGGACCTTTCAGTCCACAGACTGATGCTCCATCCACTGAGCCAAACCGGTTTCGGCTATTTTTGTAAAATATTATCATTTTATACTGTCACTGTTCACTTATTTTATCTGTATATTTACCTCTTTCTTTGTATTTCTTTACTTTTGACTTTTTACATCTTCCACCTAAGGTCATTTCCTTCTGCCCAAATTACTCCTTTGTATTTTTTTTTTTTTTTAAATCTGCTCGGGGTTAAGTTAACTTGCTTAGATAACTTTACTGTCCTCTTATTTTTAAAAAAATATATATTTTATTGATTTTTTACAGAAAGGAAGAGAAAGGGATAGAGCGTTAGAAACATCGATGAGAGAGAATCATCGATCAGCTGCCTCTTGCACACCCCCTACTGGGGTTGTGCCCGAAACCAAGGTACATGCCCTTGACTGGAATCGAACCCGGGACCTTTCAGTCCACAGGCAGACGTTTTATCCATTGAGCCAAACTGGCTTTGGCTGTCCCCTTAGTCTTGAAAGATGTTTTTGTTGTCCATGTTTCTATAGTGGCACTTTAAAATTTTTTTAGTTTATCACTATCTTCTGGCTCATATTGTTATTGTTGAGAAAATAGCATTCATTTACTTATTTATTTGAAAATATTTGCTCTTTTTTCCCTGGCTGCTTTTGAAATATGTGGTGTTTTACAGTTTCACTATGATGCATCCTTTTATTTTGCTTGCTTGTGATTTATTGGGCTTCTGGTATCTATGGGTTGGTGTCTTGCAATATTTCTCAAAAATTATTAGCCATTGTCTCCAAATATTATCTCTGTACTCTTATTTTATTTATTAAAATATATCTTATTGATTTTTTACAGAGAGAAAGGGAGAGGGATAGAGAGTTAGAAACATCAATGAGAGAGAAACATTGACCAGCTGCCTCCTGCACACTCCCTATGTGCCTGCAACCAAGGTACATGCAACCAAGGTACATGCCCATGGCTGGAATCGAACCTGGGACCTTTCAGTCCACAGGCAGATGCTCTATCCCCTGGGCCAAACCAGTTAGGACTCTGTTCTCTTTTGTATCCTTCAGTGGAATCCCCTTCATGATATGGTAAACTGCCTCACTTTGTCCCCGTGCTCCTTAGCTTCTTTTTCTTTTAGTCTCTGTGGCTACATTCTGGCTAGTTTCTTGCCTTTTAGTTCCCAAATACTGATTTGCTATGAACCCCAATGAATTTTTAGTTTTTTTCAGATACTGGGTAGAGCAAAAGTAAGTTTACAGTTGTGAGTACACGGAAACACAGAGTTAATAAAGCTATTACAATAATCATAACCTGCGTGCCTTTTTGCATATGAACAACTTTAAATTTGCTTTTGCCCATGCTGCATTTCCCTGCAGGTATTTCCAAGCTTCTCTCTTTTTTTTTTTTTCTTTCTTTTTTTAAATCTAGTAGACAGTTATTTTATAATCCGTGGCTGATAATTTCAGTATTTGAAGTTTTTATAAATCTGTTTTTGCTGTCTCTTGTTTTTCCTAGTTGTTGCCTGGGGCTTCATTTCTTTCTTTAATAATCTGCATAATTCTCAAGTGTATTTCTGAGTATTTTACATAAATTTTAAGTCTGCTTTTTCTTCCATTACATTTTCTGATTGTAATTAATTGTTGGTGTATGGGAAAGCTATTGATTTTTCTCTATTTTATATATGACTATTTTACTAAATTCTTATTTTGCTTTTCAGTTGATTTGCTTGGTTTCCTTTGTGAATAGTTATATCATCCAAAAATGATACTTTTTAATGATGCTTTACTATTTTCCAGTGTTTTTACCTCATATTTTTCCTTATCACATTGACCAAAACTTTCATAAAAATGTTGAATGATTGTGATCTTAATGTTTTCATTCCATGTAATTCCTAACATTATTGATAGTGTTTCTATTATAGCACCATTAAGTTTATGTATGTTAATTTCTAAAAAAAATACTCTTTGTTATATGAAAGATGGATACTTCTAGTTTTTTTTGTTTATTTTTTAAAAACAAATTTTTATTTATTTCAAAGAGGAATGAGGTGGGAGAGAGATAGAAACGTCAGTGATGAGAGAGAATCATTGATTGACTTCCTCCTGCACACCCCACACTGGGGATTGATCCTATAATCCGGACATGTGCTCTGACTGGGAATCAAACTGTGACCTCCTGGTTCATAGGTCGGTGCTCAATCACTGAGCCACCAGGTCTTTTGTGTGTGTGTGTTTTTTAAGAGTTGCCAAATAATGCAGACTTTTTTTTTGCAGGGGTCATTTACAAAGGGAAGAATCTTGATTCCCCCCCCCCCCCTAACATTCATGTAATGAATTACTTTAGTGGATTTGCTAATAATGAGCCATACCTACATTTCTGGAATAAATCATACATAATTGTAGTATGTTATTCTTTTAGTGTAGTATGGAGCTTGTTTTGCTTATATTTATTTCAGCTGGGTTTTTTTGCATCTAAATATAGTGTGGTGAGAACAGGATTAAGAGTGAAATAAGCTCTATCTATAAAGTAGGGAACAAATAAAATATCTTAATCTTCATTTACCTACAGGATAGAAGTAACATTTCCTTCGTAGGATTGAGGTTGATTTGTTGAACTCTACAGAGTAACCTGCCAATTCAGAGTTGAGTGAATATAGAACCATTAAAATGTAATTTTGCTTAATTTGAGTAAGATATTAATTCAGGTTGATAGCTAGGTTATAATCCAATAATATTGTTATGCTCTCCATATTTGTTTTCAGGGGTGTTTGGTTTTTTTTAAATCATTATTCAGTAACTGTTTTAATCTGTTTCATGTTTTGGCAATATCAGGTTTTCTTTCTCATGTAATTTGTGTGTTTTTTAATGTTTTCCAGCGACGAGTAGAACAGTCCCTCTATGGTTTAGATGGCAGTGCTGCAAAGGAGGTATCGGAGGAGCAGTCTGCTCTGCCAACCCTGATGTCAGTAATGCTAGCAAAACCTCGGCTCGACACAGAGCAGCTGGCACAGAGGGGAGCTGGCCTCTGCTTCACTTTTGTTTCAGTGAGTACTGAGCCTGAGTTTATGCAGATCCTTGTTGTCCTGGAGCTCCTTGATGAAGTTTAGAATAATTATTTTCATGGATAGAGGATGACCTTTTTAACTCTGTCACTTCTAGAGGTAGTGGTGAGCTTCTCAGTCTTCCTGGGTTCAGAGGGCTGAGAGAAACCATTTTGTTAATGTCTGAACACATTGTGGGAAGAAAAATGCAATCTTCGGTTGACAAAGTAAAGAAAATATAGATCAAATTCCATAACAACCAGAGAACTTATAACAAGTAAAATTTCCAAACTATAGCCATCACTTACTTAAAGCAATATTCAAGTCAGTAAAATTTTAGCATGTAGTCAGGGATTCCATAGCTTGTTTATAAGCTGTTTCACCTCTAGTATTTGGGTGACCAACATGCTTGCCTTCTCTCAACTCTTTTAAGTGTTCGTATGGTTACTTTTTCCAGGAATATTTATCTGTGTGCTCCTTTCAGCTTGCTTCTTTCTCATTCCTTGAAGAGCAAGAACTTGAAAGTTTGATCCCATTTTTATTTGCCAAATTATAATACAATTTGACTCAAAAGTTTCTACTTTCTTGGTTTCTGTTTAAGTGTTTGTGACCAAGGATGGTGTAAAACAAGAGAAAGCCCCATTGTCCTACACTTCCATGTTTAGGGACAATTTTCAGAGCTGAAGTCACCATTGGTTTAAATTTGTGTGCCTCTTACCTGGCCTATTCTTTCCAGTTATAATCTAAGTTTCTTATTCTTCTATTTTTTTGTTAATCCTCACCGAAGGATATTTTTTTCATTGACTTTTAGAGAGAGAGAGAGAGAGAGAGAGGAAAAAAGGGGAAAGAGAAAGAGATGGAAACATCAATGTGAGAGAGATACATTTTTGCCTTCCTTTCTCTTGAAAATCGGTAAACATATCCTTGGGTGAGGATTTAAAAAAAAAAAAAAAAAAAAAAAGGAAAAATCTATTATATAAAAAGCCTGTGGTTGTCATGCCATCACGCCAGGAGGCTGTGTGTGGGGGTGGGCGGGGCTACATGCACAGCGAGGTGCACGTGGGTGGGTTTCTGGATCCTGCCTCTCCTGGCGGCGGTGGCAGCAGTGGCCATGGACTCTTTTTGGGTCCCCCCGAGTCGTAGATCTCACATGATTTCGCCCGCTGGTCCCCTAGTAAATATATAAAGTATCCAAAAATTCACATGTGGAAAAACTACATTATCTAATCCTCACAATATCCAGTATTCCTAATTATGTCTGTGACAAGTTGTACTGTGTTGTTAGGTTCCATTTTCTTTATAAAAGGAATTTTGGGATGATAATGATTGTATATTCCTGAATAGTTGAATAATACTTAATCCTAAATTAGCCTTCTAAATTTAAAAATGCCTTAGAAGCCCTAGCTGCTTTTGCTCAGTGGATATAAAGTGTCATTCTGCAGACTGAAGGGTCCCAGGTTTGATTTTGGTCAAGGGCATATGTCCAGGTTGCGGGTTCAATGCCCAGTGGGGGGTGTGCAGGAGGCAGCCAGTCAATGATTCACTCTCATTATTCAGGTCTCAGATAAGATCCCCAGTTGCAGCTCTGATGTGGTTGTGAGAGGTAGCACATACAAGTGTTTACCTTACCACCATCTTCCCCAGAATCCACTCTCATTATTGATGTTTCTCTCTCTCTCTCTTCCCCCCCTTCTTCCTCCCTTTCTCTCTAAAACAATAAAAATATTTTAAAAATGAAAATAAAATACTTTAGAAATGCCCTGTAAATCGTGTATAAAAGTCATTCTGGCTGGTATGGCCGAGTGGTTAAACGTTGTTGAGCTATGAACCAGGAGGTCAGGGTCAATTCCCTGTCAGGGCACCTGTCCAGGTTGCAGGCTCAATCCCCACTGTGGGGCGTGCAGGAGGCAGCTGATCAGTGCTTCTTTCTAATCATTGATAGTTCTCTCTCTCTCCCTCTTCCTTCCTCTCTGAAATAAAGATATATATATTTTTAAAAGTCACTATCAGCAAATAACATTATTAGAAATTAACTTGGAATTTGGGCCAGTGTGTGTTTTTGGATAATATTTGTGGATTTAGGAGACTACAGTAGTTCCCCCTTACCTGTTCCAGGACCCCCAGTAGATACCTGAAACTACAGATAGATCAGTAGTACCTATACATACCTACCTTTTCACTTACAGGAAACACTTGTTGGCATACCTGAATCGCGAGTGTCACCGTTTGTGTTCTTTCAGGCCATTATTAAATAGATAAGGGTTACTTGAATACAAGCCCTGGAATACTTTGACAGTCAGATGGCTACTTAGTGACTGACTGGTTCGTAGTGCATACAGTATGGATACGCTGGACAAAGGGAGACTCATCCCGAGCGGGACAGCACAGGATCTCATCACATCACTCAGAACATTGTGCAGTTTCAAACTTAGGAATTGTTTATTTCTGAAATTTCCATTTAATATTTTCAGACCATGGTGGACCACAGGTAACTGAAACTGTGGATAAGGGGTACAATTGTATTCTGAATAGTAGTTTACAGTCTTTTCTGCCTGGAGTCTTTAGCATCCCTTTGCTTCAATCACCAGCCTTTTCTGACAAAAGCATATTGAAATACAAGTGAAAGGGGCCTGTTATAACAGGAATAACTTTAATTTACATTTTAAAAAAATTCTTTTATAAGCATTTGATTTTTTAAAATATATATATATCTTTATTGATTTCAGAGAGGAAAGGAAAAGGGGAGAGAGAGAAATATCAATGATGAGAGTGAAACATTGATCAGCTGCCTCTTGCACGCCTCCTACTGGGGGTTGAGCCCTCAACCTGGGCATGTGCCCTTGACCAGAATCAAATCTGGACCCTTCATTCCACAGACTGACGCTCTATCTACTGAGCCAAACCAACTAGGGCAGCATTTGATGTTTTAAACCATTTCTAGTAACATGGTCCAAGCCACCATGTCTGGCTCTTAGTTCTCATTTGAATTGTTTTACTTTCTTGGCTACATGGCCCTGACTTTTCTTTTTCTTTTTTTAATATATTTTATTGATTTTTACAGAGAGGAAGGGAGAGAGACAGAGAGCTAGAAACGTCGATGAGAGAGAAACATCGACCAGCTGCCTCCTGCATACCCCCTACTGGGGATGTGCCCGCAACCAATGTACATGCCCCTCACCGGAATCGAACCCGGGACCTTTTAGTCCACAGACCGACGCTCTACCACTGAGCCAAACTGGTTTCGGCTATGGCCCCGACTTTCATCAGAATTCATTTTATATAGTTAATCATTTGCATACATACAAATGTTTGTGGAGGAAGATACAAAACTGTCTGTGATTGGTGATATACCTTTATTACAGGCTCAGCAAAACAGTCCTTCTTCTACAGGATCTGGTAACACAGAGCATTCCTGCAGCTCCCAGAAACAGATTTCCATCCAGCACAGACAGACCCAGGTAGGTTGGCAATTGGTAAACAGAGGCTAAAAAGATCTGCTTAGGAATAAATGCTAACCACATATAAAGTCTGAGTCCTCTCTTTGTCTTCCCTTTAATTCTCTGACTTTATCTCATTATTTTTATTATTCTGTTTATAACTTACATTATGAGTACTTAAAGTCTTTTGGAAGTTGCTTTAACTTTTTGAGGTATTTCTTTTCCTTTCTGGTATGTTGCAGCAGAAGCACTTATATTATAGCAAGCTGTTGAGAACAGAGCACTCATTTAGAGACCTTTAGGCCTGAGTTCAAATTCTGTCTTTACACCTTACTCTATATTTTTAGGCCTCAATTTTCTTTTTTTTTCTCCTCAATTTTCTTTAATACAAATCATCTGTATAATGTGGTTGATTCTTATTATCTCAAACAATATATACAAAATGCTTATTGGTACAGTGCTCATAGTAGTCATCAATGAATGTTAATTTACTACTTTATGAAAGGAGTTAATTTATTCCTTGTACCTGTTCATTTGGCAAGATCTAGATAAACTTCTTTAACATGTGGCACACCAACATACTTTTCTCCTTAAACAGTCTTCAGAAACATTTTAAGTTAGGTAGAATTATGTGAACAATCAAAGATATTATTTGCAAATGATAATGGATACATATCCTCTACTTTATAATATTGATCTAGCCAAATAATATGCCAGATTTTCTTGGCACCGTGCTGCCTTCAGGTCAGGGCAGGATGCTTGACATTCTAGGAGCATTTCTTAAGTCTTGAGCTATACAACCTTCAGGAGCAGGTTTTAATTTTATTTGAATTACCAGCCTTTGGGCAATTGAAAGATGATAACTTTGATCTCTTTTAATTGTTCATTATTTCCACTAGATGGCATGTTTGGGTCATGTATTCTCTCAGTTTCATTTCTAAAGTAGTATGTTTCTATTGTTCAATGAACAGAGATATTGAGAATTCATATATTTAATTCCAGTATTAATATGTTTTTGAGGTGCAGGTATAGCAGAATATAAAACTTAAAGAATGGGATGAGGAAAGGAGATTCAATTTCTTGAGCCATGTGATTCTTGGCTATTTGTATTAGCAAGTGCCTTTTCACTCCAGAAAAGCAATGAGAAAATGAGTGATGGCACACAGTATTTTGAGACTAATTCTAAATTTTATTTTGTCTCTATAGTCTGACCTCACAATAGAAAAAATATCTGCACTAGAAAACAGTAAGAATTCTGACTTAGAGAAGAAGGAGGGAAGAATAGATGATTTGTTAAGAGTAAGTATTAAAATATGATTTTTATAAGCACTGATTGGATGTTATGTGTATTTGGCATATGTGCATATCATAGAGATAATTACTATAGCCAAAGAATAAAGTTTAATAAACATATAGATATTTTCCTTTAATTCAAGGGAATCTGAATAGCAAGCAAGATCAAACCTACATTTTAAGCTCTATAAATGCCTTTAAATTGGAAATCTTATATTGTAGAATTTTAATATTCTTTTATTATTGTTATTAGAGGCCTGGTGCATGACATTTATCCACTGGGGCAGGGCAGGAGGGGTATCCCTCAGCCCAGCCTGTGGCTTTTTACAGTCTGGGAGCCCTCGGAGGATATCCAACTGACAGCTTAGGCCTGCTCCCCGCCAGGCTCCCACCACCACCGCTGTGCTTGCCAGCCACGAGCCAGGCTCTGGCTGAGTGGCACTCCTCTGTGGGAGCACACTGACCACCAGGGAGCACACTGACCTCCTGTGTTGAGCATCTGCCCCTGGCGGTCAGTGCGTGTCTTAGAGACCAGTTGTTCTGCTGTTTGGTTGATTTGCATATTAGTCTTTTATTATATAGAATTTTATAGAGAAAAAGGAAGGGGGGAAGGAGGGTATGAATTTGTTGTCCTGCTTAGTTATGCATTGGTGGGTTGATTCTTATATGTGTCCTGACGGGATAAAATCTGCAACTTTGGTATATGGTGTCAATACTCTAACCAAAAAGGCAACCCAGCCAGGGCCTTAGTATTCTTGAATTTTAAAACTATTTCACAGACTGTTTTTTTTTAATTTTATATTTTTTATAATCTATTCATCTAAAGTTTTTTTGTAAAAATTTTTTACAAGGAAAATTTCAAAAATAGCTCATCTGGATACCACTAGAAAATATACCAGGATATTTTAAATACATATTTTTAAAATGCAATTTGGTATATTGACAGTCCAATTCTTAAAAATTTATTTTAATGTTTTTATTGTTGTTATGAAAGTAATACCTGCTTTTAAAAAAAAAATTCAGAAAATGCTGAAAAAAAAAATATGGCATTTCGAGATAAAACATTTGACATTTCCTCTAGTAATTGAGCCATTTGTAGTACTTATATAAATGCATATATACATAAATATTTATAAATAAAATTGACTAACATTTTTCTCTAGTGACTTAGAAAGGGGTAGGTTTGATCCTTATTTATACTGATGTGATGGTTTTCACACTGGCTCCACGAGGCCCTGAAGGTTCTATAGAAGAACCACTAGGACTCCCATGACACAGCTGAGGAGGGGTCTCTGCCTTGCATTTTGCTTTTGATGATGTGGTCCATACAACACACAGAAGAACTGATGGGAAGAAATTATACTTATGGGGACAGCGGACATTTGAAGATGGGAGCTTTTTTGTATTCTGGCCACTTTAAAATGAAGCCTGAGCTGAAACTGGTTTGGCTCAGTGGTAGAGCGGACTGAAAGGTCCCGGGTTCAATTCCGGTGAGGGGCATGTACGTTGGTTGCGGGCACATCCCCAATAGGGGGTGTGCAAGAGGCAGCTGGTTGATGTTTCTCTCTCATCGACATTTCTAGCTCTCTCTCTCTCTCTCCCTTCCTCTCTGTAAAGAAATCAATAAAATATATTTTTAAAAATAAAATAAAATAAAATGAAGCCTGAGCTGAAAGCAGTTTGGCTCTGGATAAAGCGTCGGCCTGCGGAATGAAAGGTCCCAGGTTCGATTCCAGTCAAGGGCATGTACATTGGTTGTGGGCACAACCCCAATAGGGGGTGAGCAGGAGGTAGCTGGTTGATGATTCTCTCTCATCGATGTTTCTAACTCTCTATCCTCTCTTTCTCTCTGTAAAAAATTAATAAAATATATATATTTTTAAGAATAAAAATAAAATAAAAGGAAGCCTGAAAAGTCTTAGAAATTGAGTGTTTTCTAATATCTTCCATGTGTGCTTTTTAATGTTTCAGAACATTTATTTTATTTGATTGGGAAATATCAGATTTTTTTTTCATGATTCTAGCAAGTTATTATAAAGTAGCATTTATTTACCAAAAGATCTTTTTTTTTTTTAACACCAGAATAAATTCAGGAGTTTCAATTCAAAATTGATCTTGGGTTAGTGGTTCTTTCCTTCTCTGTTATTGTAGGAGGTTTGGATTTTTCAAAGTATTTACTCCATCCTTCTGGCCACAGCTAAATTAACTGTGTATTTGCATTCTGGCATTCTTGAACCAGGACCTTGTATTCAGCTAGTTAGTTCTATCTTATGTGGGCATGGGTGTGCCTGGCTTTTCTGGTAAGAAACACTGTGTACATTCATGTCTCCTTTTCTTTGGAAACAAGAATTAAAAAACAAAGAACAATTGAACTTAAAGAACTATATGTGTGTTTTTCTGTGATTTTTTTGTAAATGTTTAATTGTCCTTTATAAGTATTTAATCTCTAAGTGCTGTAAAAGTGCCTAGTCATGCTTTTTATATATTTTAAGCATGTCATATTTCATAGGGTTTTTTCCCCCTTTCATTTTGTGATAATTGAGGCATATGTGATGTACTAGATTTAGCTATCTGTAACTGGCTTTTGGAAGGAGTAAAATATGATCAGTAGAAAAACAAGCTCACTTTTAGTAACAGAATTCATCTTTAATAAATAGATAAGTTTATTAAGAGAGAATAAAGAATTTAACATTTTTTAGGACTGCTTCTATCCTTAATTTTGCTTTTGACTTAACAACAAATGATTCTCTGACATCCCTAGGAACTTTTTTGGTATTTATCTTCCTTGGAAGTAATTAAAATGTTGTTTTCCATTGAAGGCCAACTGTGATTTGAGACGGCAGATTGATGAACAGCAAAAGATGCTAGAGAAATACAAAGAACGATTAAATCGGTGTGTGACAATGAGCAAGAAACTCCTTATAGAAAAGGTGAGTGAAAGGCGGCCAGGATACTACGTATCCGAAGGTGCTCGGTGGGTGTCATTACTGTGGCTTCTTACTCCTCACATGGGATGAAAATACTTCAAATTAGAGCTTTTTAGGAAAAGACTTATTGTTTGATAATTAGGATTCTTTCTTGCTTGTATACTTGAACCAAGTATCCAGAGTGATAATTTGTCACATTTTTTCTGCTTTTTGGTTTTGCATTGCTTTGAGTGTGATGTCGATTGGACAGAAACAGCTTGTCTTAGTTGAGTTTATTTGAGATGTTGGTTCCCTAAATTCTTTTATTTATTTAAATTTTAATTTATTGATTAGAGAGAGGGGAAGGGATAAAGGGTGTAGGGGGAGAGAGAAGAAAGAGAGAGAGAGGGAGAGAGATTTACCCACAAACTTGGCATCCGGTAGTTGAGCTACCCGATTGGGTTTTAATTCTTATCTATCTTTTGAAGTGTGGATTCTTTTATAAACATTTAACAATAGTTACATTTCCATTTCAGAGATGGTATTTGGAGTAATGTAAATATATAATAATGTTATAATTAAGTGCTTTGTGCTGTAAAATAATTTTGTTGGTATATCCTTACTATATGTGTTTAATTGGCTCTGTCCTTTGTAGTTGATTAGTTGCAACTTGCTTTTAGTATTATAGTTACTAGTAACTTCTTTTTGTAAGTTTTTTTTTTTTTTTAATTATATCCCCAGTACTTATTTATCTTACATCGAAAGCTTAAGATAGCAGAACTTACTAATGAACTTATTACAAGGTAGAGGTTTGTGGCAGCCTGGTTACTTGTGCTTAAAGTCTTTGGAATGTTAAAATGACAGGGAACCGTGATAAAAGTGAAGTGATTATGCTGATGTCAAAGATACTGGGACATTTTGCTTCATCTTTTATTTTTTAATTATTTATTTATTTTCCATTGATTTCTAGAGAGAGTGGAAGGGAGGGAGGAAGGGGGGAGAGAGAGAAATATGGATTGGTGGCCACCCACACGCCCCCCTACCAGGGTGGGGAAACCTGTAAAATTGATACATGACTTTGGGACTCCTACTTGAGACCCTTTGGTCTGTGAGCCTATGCTCTAATCACTGAGCAAAACCAGCCAGGACTGCTTCATCTTTTAATTTATTAATTTTATAATACGAAAACCACTTTTTTTCCATTTTTATGACAAGGTAGATGTTAATACAGAGAATTTATTTAAAGTTTTAGGTTACTTCCTAAGGTCAATGTAGATTTAGCCAGTTATACTAAACTTTGCACAGTATAGTACAAAAAATAAACATAATGCTATATAAGAGTTCTCATAGGAAAATGAAATTATTTTCTATTTGTTCTTTTCTTCTAAGTCAAAACAAGAGAAGATGGCATGTAGAGATAAGAGCATGCAAGACCGCCTGCGATTGGGCCACTTCACCACTGTCCGGCACGGGGCCTCTTTTACTGAGCAATGGACAGATGGTTATGCTTTCCAGAACCTTATCAAGTAAGTTAATTTGTGATGATTAAATTGAGAATTGACAACTTGGTTTGTATTTTTTAAGTTTTCTGTAATTGTGGTCATTAATAATTCTAGTAGTGATAGTCATCTTTTTAGTCAGTTTCAGCCACCACATGTGTTAAAAATGTAGGGAAAATCCTGAGAAAATTAAACAAGTAATCAAAGGAATCAAAACAAGTTTTACATTAAAGGTTAAAAAAATTAAAATGGTCAAAAATTTGAAATCAGGGTGTTGCCAGGAGCATGCTCCCTCTGAAGTCTCTAGGGAGGATCCCTCTTTGGCATTTTATAGTTTCTCCCTTGGGTAGTGCATTTCACAGTTCCCAGTAGATATCTATAATAATAAAAGCGTAAGACCAGACGTCCTTCCAGATGACCTCTGGACAAAGCGGGGGAGGGGGGGCTGTGAGGGAAGCCAGGGCCCTGGGTGCCTGCTAGCGGCCGGAGGGAAGCCCAGGTCCCAGGTGCCGGAGGGAAGCTGGTGCTGGCAGCAGGGGGGAAGGAAGGCCGACTCTTGCACGAATTTCATGCATTGGGCCTGTAGTAGAACCTAAGAAATCCTGGGAATCTAAAAAATTTGCATCTAGTATATTTAGGTGCTATCTATAGAGCACTGCTTAAACATTTTTTGGTGAGCGTGCATTCTTTACTGCTCCTGCTTGTTATATATAATATGGTTGTGGTCTGAAATAACAGTTTTGTTGTTGAAGGTGCCTGTATTCTTTTCTTAGGGCTACTATAACAAAATACCACAAACTGGGTGGTTCAAAACAAATTTATTCTCTCACAGTTCAGGAGGCCAAATATCTTTTTTGTAGAATGACAGAATCTGTTGGGTGTTTTTTTGTTTTTGTTTTTGTTTTTACCAATTCTCAAATCTCTTCTATCCTCTGAAGCCTCTAGCGAGGATCCTTCTTTGGTGTTCTGTGGCTTGTGGCAACATAGCTATTTCGATCTGTATCTCCATTTCACATTATGTTCTCCCATGTGTCTTCTCTTTTCTTCTTGTAAAAACAGAAGTCATATTGGAATTAGGGCCCACCTACTCCAGTATGACCTCATTTTAACGAATGCATCTTCAATGACTCTGTTTACAAAGGTCATAATCTGTGGTAATGGGGACGTTCACATATATTTTAGATGACACAATTCTACCCGTAATGGTGCCAAAGACTGATTGCCTTGTTTTCTTTTACGGCAATGGCTTTTGAAATGGGGTTATTTAGATTTGAGTCATTAGTCAAATTTGAGTCATTTGATTTATTAGGTCATTAGTACTTTTGTAAAAAATGGTGGAAAATACTCTTTCCATGGGTGATGAAAATCCAACACTTTAAAATTGATAGCATGTAAGAAATATTTAAGGCTAAGCTGTATAAAGGCACTGTCATATGTGCTGGTAGTAGAAGGGTTGATAAGACATGGTTCTTGTTCTAAGAATATATGTAGTTTATTGACATAATCCAGACTATATACTCTCAAAATAAACCATAATGAGTATCACTTATAAACTTATCTTTAAATAATTTTTATTTGTTATCTGTCAAGGTTGAATGATTCTCCCACTATAGTTGATAGTTTAATTTAGATATTGTATGGTTATCTCCAGAGACTTCAGAGTACTTTGTACTCATGGCCCCTGAAAAGGTAGAAATTAGCTAAAGATATATTTTTTTTGCAAATTTTTTAAATTAGGAAATTCATGTTCAGAGAAGGTATTTATTCATTGAGTCAGAAGGAAGATTGTGATTTTACCTAAAAATCCTGTCTTAATCCAGAAAAATTTTAAGCCACAAATTATTTTATACATATATTTTGGAGGGAGAAGCATATCTCCAATGATAGTTAAAAAATTTTTTTTCAGACAAGTATAAAACTCTTGAATTAAAATTGTCAATTCTGCTATTAAATTGATATCTAATCAGTGATCCAGCAAAGGAATTGTATTATCAGATAGTTAGTTACTTGCAGTGCTCAGATTAGGTTAACTTTGTTTAAAGTCTTGCCCTCCCTGGAGTAAATAGTCTTTTTTTTTTTGTTTGCCCTTCTTCCAAGAAAGATACTGAATCTGGAAAAGTTGTATAGGGACTCACAACTGCTGTGTTCAGGCAAGATGGTAGAAGATATTTCATTTGGATACAGGTTAAAAAATAGATTACCAGTATGCCACCCTAACTGGTTTGGCTCAGTGGATAGAGCGTAAGCCTGCAGATTGAGGGGTCCCAGGTTCGATTCCGATTAAGGGCATGTACCTTGGTTGTGGGCACATCCTCAGGAGGGGGTATGCAGGATGCAGCTGATCTATGTTTTTCTCTCTCTCATCCATGCTTCTAACTCTCTTTCCCTCTCCCTTACTCTCTTTAAAAAACCAATAAAATATATATTTTTAAAAATAGATTATGTCATGTCTATCTAAAAATTAAGATTGGATAAAAAAAAAAGACGGGGAAATCGTATCTAGCATTTGACTGTCAACTATGACAGGTAATCTAAAGAGTTTAATCTGCTAAATAAATGGTTAATCCCAAATCTTGGTATATTTTTACATACCAAGATTATAAACAATGTTTGTTAGGTGGGGGGATACATAAGAGAAGGTGATTTTCTTATATTGGTATTTTTATTGACTCCTAATTTGTAAACATGTTTAGAAAAATTAGACATCTTATTAGGAAATAGTCTAATGATGTTATTTAGATGTCTGGAATCTTTTTATATGTTTTTTATTCATTTAATTTACCATTTCTTAGGGAGTTTATTAGTTACAAGGCTTCATTGTGCTTTTTCTGAAGGTACTTGTTTTTAAAAACTTAGTATAGGTTTTACCGTCTCAGTGAGTGGGAATGACTTAGAGCTGTTTTCTTAACTTTTAAAAAGGCATCAGAAAATTCTTTTTTAGCCAGAAAATGAAGTCAGAGCAGAAATTTGATAATTTTCCTTCCTGCCCACTTTCTACCGTGAAAATAATCATAACTAGTGTCTTAAAGCAGACTCATTCTAAATAAATCTTTCAATCTTTCAAATCTATCAATTATTTGGCTGGTTCAAACTGAATTTAAAATAAATCAACTTGATTTAAAGGGGCTTATTTTTTGAAGCCTATTAAATATGCAGGTAACAAAGATATTTGTTGTAATCTATAACCATGTTAAATTTTTTGGCCTTCTTTATCTTTTATATCTCCAGGCAGCAGGAAAGGATAAATTCACAGAGGGAAGAAATTGAAAGGCAGCGGAAAATGTTAGCAAAGCGGAAACCTCCAGCCATGGGACAGGCCCCTCCAGCAACCAATGAGCAGAAACAGCGGAAAAGCAAGACCAACGGAGCTGAAAATGAAACGTATGTTCTTTATTGATATGAGATACCACTCTCTCCCCTAAAACACAAAACTATTGAATGACACTGGAAAAACATGATAAACTATGGAGATTTCTAGACCTTAAGCTTTAATTTTAGCTACATTATGGATTTGCTCAAGTCATATAAAGGTAACTAATTTTTTTTAGCTTGATCTCGTTTAGGAAGTTTTGAATGAGAGAGGAAAGTAATGTCACGTAGCTTGACATCATGATCTTTGGCCACTGTTATAACAAATGTGATGTTGTGGTATTCAAATGATGCAGTTGTTTGTGTGTGGTTGGCTCTAGGTTATGGTATGTTGGTATCATGGGGGTTACCTGACTACTATTTCAGACTAAAGAATGCACAACTGAAAAATGACCTTTACTGTCTAAAGAGCACCCTGTTTTTTTGTTTGTTTGTTTGTTTGTTTTGGGGGGGTTGTATCTTTTTTTTTCTTCACGGCAAATCAACAATTTGTGCATGGGAGGGGAAGCATAGGTATCTCCCTTTTCCACCCCCACCTCTGTCAGAGTTCCCTCTTCGATCATTGAATTCCTAAACCCTGAGAATCTTCCTCTGGGACAGGAGCTCACAAGCTTTTTCTTTAACGGACCAGACAGTGAATATTTTACGCTTTGCAAGCTAGAGATTTTCTGTTGCAAATACTCAATAGAGTAGCCTGAAAGTAGCCCTAGATAATATGTAAATGGGTGTGGCTATGTTCCAATAACACTTAATTTACAAAAAGAAACTGAACTGAATGGCCCCATGGCTGTATGCAGTTTGCCAACTAGACAGGAACTACCAAATAGAATTTGTGTGGAAAATAAACTCTGTATATTACTTACCTACTTAAAATATTTCTTATGCTTATATTTAGTCATCAACCGTTGTTAAGAGGCTTTCAATTAAATTAAAAAGGAAAACCAAAGCTCTACAGATAATAGTGTAGGCAATAAATATCTATAGAATTGATGGTAGCCATAAAGTTGGTTTCTGAATTGGAGATTTGAAATATAAAAAAATACATATTTTTTATAGAATCAGTCATTGCTGTTGTTGTAATTGGTGTACTTATAGTGGCTACATTGGTTTTTCAGGAGGAAAAGAATTTTTCTAAAGCTGTCATTGTGGGATTCTTTAATTGAAAATAAGCTCCAGGTCTAAAGATAGTCACAAATAGCATATAATAATATTTTATGTTTATGTTTTATGTTTTTATATCAGTTCACAAAAACATATTAACTCATAAACGCCCTCAAGTATAATACTTGTATTACACCATAGTTAAAAGTTCATGACATTTCAGAAATGTATCTTCAATCCAGTGAGAAAGATTGTTTAACAGCAATCCTCACCCCATACATACTTGATTGTTGGGGAGCCTTTTCTTGGACATTCATTTAGTAAGTCTATGTTAAATGCTTATTATATACTCTGCTCAGGGCTGGACATGGGATACAGAGCTAAAGGATACAGCCTCAGCCATAGCAGTTCAGTTTATTTAAGAAAAATGAACAGATGAATAAGTTAATAATTACATTAAGTATAGTTAAAAAAGTATGCATAGTGAATAAGCTTAAACTAAAAAACATTTCCTTTAAAAAAATCTAAGTAGGAACCCAAACTTGAAAGATTTTTTTCAGGCAGATATTATATACATTAATGTGATGATTGTCTTCCTTCTTTCCTGTATTTACTTTGTGAAGGGACTCTTTCTCCAATATTACTTGAAAATTATTTAATTCTAGTGCATAAAGCCATTGGGTTAGAACTGTGGTCGTCAAACTGCGGCTCGAGAGCCACATGTGGCTCTTTGGCCCCTTGAGTGTGGCTCTCCCACAAAATACCATGGTCTGGGCGAGTCTATTTTGAAGAAGTGGCATTAGAAGAAGTTTAAGTTTAAAAAATTTGATTCTCAAAAGAAATTTCAATCGTTAAACTATTGATATTTGGCTCTGTTGACTAATGAGTTTGCCGACTACTGGGTTAGAAGTATAAAGAAGGCATAGGCAAAAAAAAGAAGAAGAAGAAGAAGGTGGCGGTATAGGTTATTTCCTTTCCATAGAACAATAATTAGAATTTAATCTAGGTCAATAGTATGTCAATAAATAGTTGCCATCTGGAGTTCTGTGTAAAATTCAAGCTGGAAGGCATTCGGTCCAGTTTTTAATTAGAGTATCAGAGACTTGGCTCACTCCTTGGGCCAAAAGCCAAAACAGTCTTCTGGAGTCTTGGAGTGAGTCACATTATCCGTTCCTGGTATCAAACCTATTTCAGGCAGAGAAAGCCTTCTTAGCTATGATTTTTTATTTCTCCCCTTTTTATTGTTTTATTTTTATTTTTTTAAAATGTTTTTTGATTTCAGAGAGAGGAAGGGAGAGGGAGAGAGATAGAAACATCAAAGATGAGAGAGTATCATTGATTGGCTGCCTGAAACCCAGGCATGATCCCCTGACCACAATCAAACCATGACTTCCTGGTTCATAGGTCGACACTCAACCACTGAGCCACACTAGCCAGGCTTTCTTTTTTTATTTTTAATCCTCACCTCGGATATTTTTTTTATTTTACTGATTTTGAGAGAAACAGAGAATGAGATCTCAATTGGTTGCCTCTGAGTATCAAACCTACAAACTAGGTGTGTGCCCAGACTGGGAATCAAACCACCTGAGCCATCTGAGCAGGGCTCTTCCTTTTTTTACTAGTGTGATATAAAATAATGGATATAAGTATTTCTGCAATTATGAAGGGATAGGCATAATTCTTCTATTAGATGTGTTTCTTCTTTTTACTCTTTTATTTTCTTTTGTTAGACCTCAAAGGCTCATTTTGTAGCCCTTCCTGGTTGATAGGCCAGCTGTTTCTTCTTTCTCCTGCTATTTAGAATATATCTGAATAGGGACATCTAAAACTTTGAATTATATGTGTATGCTTCTAGAATGTGAAGAGGGTGCAGATGGAGGAGTATCTTGCATGCTTACTCTTGAGATATGAGCATGTGAGTGGAGTAGGTGGAACATGAAACGAACAAGTGATTACCCATCACGTAAGCCCTTTGAGCATTTTGTTTAAATGGCATTTTACAAATTATACATTCTTTTCACATTCTCATTTAATAGTCACAGCACATTTGTTAAATAGGTATTATTACTTGCTGCATTTTTAGGAAACTGAGACTCAAGAGGTTAAAGTTGCTTGCCCAAGGTCACATGACCCAAGTTGCACTTGGAACCTTAGTCCTCAAACTCCAGATTTTAGACGCTCTCCTCTTTGTTATTACAGTATCAAAGTCTGAGATTTATCAAAAATAAGCCGATCTGTTAGCTTATTATTTTGCCCTTTAAAACAATTTAGACATAATTTTTGGCTACCTCTCCTAAAGGATTCTCATCAGTAATGTTTGGGACAAAACTAATGTTATAAATAATGTAAAATTATAGCATGTTATTATATTTGTTTTTTCATTTTTTACAATTTAGACTTCTGGGTTTGAAATCCTTTCACATCACATCTGATAAATCACAGAAGTGTTCTCGTTTTAAAGAACTGACTGCAAAATAACTGTCTTTTAGTAGTTTTAACAGAATAAATATACTGTATAGCATACTTTGGCATTTCTCATTAAATATACGCACTATGATTTCAAATAATTTATTGGTATTTCTACCATTATTTTCCAGGTTAACGTTAGCAGAATACCATGAACAAGAAGAAATCTTCAAACTCCGATTAGGTCATCTTAAAAAGGTAAATATAATGAGAAGTACAATTTATAGATTACATTTGGGGTGGAAATAAGCTGGTTATTTGGGCAAATATAATATATTGGTCTCACGTACCTGCAGAAATCTCTTATGATATTTTAAATCACACAGCAGCTCTTATCTCTTGCCTAAACTGGCTAAGAAGAGAAGGTCTTGTATCAACCTTGTAACTCAAAGGCACCTACCCAGAATTTGTTATTGCGATGTTCACAGAAGCATCTTAGATATAGATTGCTCATCTTTTTATTTATTTTTATTTTTTATATATTTTATTGATTTTTTACAGAGAGGAAGGGAGAGAGATAGTTAGAAACATCGATGAGAGAGATACATTGATCAGCTGCCTCTCGCACACCCCCTATTGGGGATGTGCCTGCAACCAAGGTACATGCCCTTGACCAGAATTGAACCTGGGACCTTTCAATCCGCAGGCGGACGCTCTATCCACTGAGCCAAACCAGTTTCGGCAGATTGCTCATCTTTTTAATTCAGCAGCTCACACATTTTTGGTGGGTGCCACTTATGGTGGTGATGGTCAATAAGCATTTTAATAAACTGCTATTGATACGTGTTTGTTTTTTCACTGGATTCTCAGATCTTGTTTAATCAGTAAAACTTAAAGCACCAAGTATAATCCATACTTGCAGAACAGAACCAAGTAAAGAATCTGGTTTTTGGTTTAAAAAAAAGAAGAGGAAAAGATTCCATATCTATATGTACACGCACAAAAACGTTCCTAAAAACTTTAGATAAGAAACTTAACTGGTTACATCTGAGAAGTGGTCTAGAGGGGAGGGAGCAAGGGGCAGAGGACTCTTACTTTTTCTACTGTAATCCTTCGTATGGTTTGAATTTGATTTGTTATTTTGTTATAGGCTTTGTTTTTATGACAAAAAGTCTAGTTCTTTTTAAAAAATATTTTTTAAGGCAAAACATCTTGCTTAAACTTTTTTTTGTTTGTTTTTGAAATGAGATTCTGGAAAGGTAACATTTCTTGTGTTCTGAGCTCCTTCTTTCCTTTTTACTTTAGGAGGAAGCAGAGATCCAGGCAGAGCTGGAAAGGCTAGAAAGGGTTAGAAATCTACATATCAGGGAACTAAAAAGGATACATAATGAAGATAATTCACAGTAAGCAATTTGGGGGTGTACTGGCTTGAAGACTGCTGAGGACTTTCTGACATGGCTTAGAACAGCAATTTTTAACCGGTGTGCCACAGAATTTTTAAAAAATGCATTACCTGACTACTTAGGGGCACTGACCTCTTAGATTGTCAAATAAAAAAAAATAACTGCCAGCAAAACAATAACTGTCTGGTGTGAATAAATCAAAATTATGCCTATTTTATGTCACATTGGTAAAATATATTTTTTGGTGTGCTGCAGAATTTTAGTAATCAGTTTGTGTGTGCCATGAGGTGAAAAAAGTTGAAAATTGCTGGTCTAGAATGATGTTTTTGATGAATATAAATTTGGTAAATTGATTCCATGCTGTATTTGTTCTATTGTAGCATATAATACAGTTTTATGAACAAAATAATGATTTGCTTTAGTTTAAATATATATAAAAATAGTAGATTTATATATTAAATATATACCTATACATGTAGTATGTTTCCCCATAGAGGTCACTAAAACAATATAGATTTGTAGTGTAAATGGTTAGGATACACTGCCTGTTTAGATTTACCTACAGAACCTTACAAAAGGGAAGGATGGGTGACATAATGGAGTTGTGGAAAGATTATTGAATTGACGCCCCATTTCTGAATGACCTTTAAGAGTCATTTGGCCATTGAGATTTTAAGCAAGACTCTGTTAAGTTCAGCACATTATTTTATTTTATTTTATTTTATTTTATATTTTATTTTATTTATTTTATTTTATTTATTTTATTTATTTTATTTTATTTTATTTTATTTTATGTTTGTTTTTAATTGATTTTCCACAGAGAAGAAGGGAGAAGGATAGAGAGCTAGAAATGTTGATGAGAGAGAAACATCAACCAGCTGCCTCCTGCACATCCCTTACCGGGAATGTGCCCGCAACCAATGTACATGCTCTTGACTGGAATCGAACCCGGGACCTTTCAGTCCACAGACCGACACTTTATCCACTGAGCCAAACCAGTTTTGGCTCAGCACATTAATTTAGATAAATGCCCACCTTTGTTTAAAAGTCACTTAAGAGACAAACTGTGAAAAATAGATAGTAAGTGGAAAATGGCTTCTCTCTGTAATCTGTTCCTTCCCACATATTTTGGACTCTGAAACATCAGTTTTTACTTGTGTATTTTTGTTTGCCAGTGTGAGCCATGGCCTTTTTCAGTAAAGTGCCAGCAACAGCTGTTATTGAGCACTCTCTCTTTGTCAGGCATAATGCTAAGTGCCCTTGTGTTCTGTCATTTAATCTTCACAGTAACTTGGTAAGGTAGACATCTTTGCAACATACATCTGGAAACAGGCTTAGAAAAATTCAGTTAACTTGACCAGAAACCCATAACTAGTGGCCCAAACTGAGAGTTAAACTTAGATCTGTCTGTTTTCAAAGTGACTTATCATACAGTAATGCCACTTCTCTCCACAGCAATCTGCTGTCTTAAAATGAAAATAATTTTAGGAAAACTAGGTAGAAATATTTTTAAAGTAATTTTTGCCAGAATCTCTTATTTACTTTTTGGTGAACAGTACAAGCTGGTATCTTTTATAGGAAAAACAGTTACAGCATGAAGACTTTTTGCATTATTGAGAGATGTATGCACATAGAACATGTGACTCACTTTATAATTAAATCTGTTTTTAAGCCCATGTAAAATATCTGGGAGTTTTATTGTATGTAGTTACATAATGGTGGGAGCACGTGGCCCTTGAATGGTTTGGAGGAACTCAGTAACAAAGTTTAAAAATCCCTCATCTAATGTAGTCCACCTCCACCCCCCTCGTTTTATAGCAGGGCAGAAAGGGGGAGACCAGCGAAAGTCACAGGTCTATTGTGGCTGTGCGGACATTGGCACCTATGTGTCATGGCTCTAGAGCTAATACTTTTCATTGTAATCATGCTGTATCTTTGAATTATATTTTAATAATTATATATGTATGTTATATATTCCTTGTTTCCACAGATTTAAAGATCATCCAACGTTAAATGACAGATATTTGTTGTTACATCTTTTGGGTAGAGGAGGTTTCAGTGAAGTTTACAAGGTAAGTATGAGGAACTGAGCAAAAAGATTGAGGGTTAAATCACTGATTAGACCAACTTGGAGGACATTTAGAATAGTGATAATTATGTGTTGATAACTAATGGTTGAAATTTAAAACTTTAAGAACCTGTATCTTTGGGAGAACTGCTTTTAATAAACTTTAGTGACTAAGCAAGAGACAATATTTTATCCTGTTTTCAAGTTTCAAAAAATAAATAATTTAAAAAATGTTTTAACAGGAAGGAAAAACAACACTAATATGGGTAGTGGAATTATGTGATTTTTATTCTCAAATTTTTTTTAACTGAATAGATGTGATACAGATAATTCTTACTTGAAAAACTGCTTTTTGATGTTCTCATCTTCTAAGTCAGAGTTTTTAGTAGCACTGGCATTTTGAAGGGGGGTCCTGGCTTAGAGTCCTTCTATTGGGCCAGCAAAGTACAGACTCCTATGCCTTCAACTGATTTTTACTAAGTGAGGAAATCAGCTAGTTTATAGCTGCAGATGCTAATATATTCACCAGCCAAGGCCTCCTTTTTGTGGCTGGCTTATTAGACTTAGCATAGTATCCTCAGAGTTCATCCATGTTGAAGCAGGTGCCAGATTTCCTCCTTTTTAGGGCTGGATAACATTTCATGGTGTGTATGTAACAAATGTTCTTTACCCATTTGTCTGTCACTAGACATTTAGGTTGCTCCCTCTTGTCTGTTACAAATAGTGTTGTTTTGAACATGTATGTACAAATATCTCTTTGAGATCCTGCTTTCAGGTCTTTTGGTGATATACCCAGAATTGAGAGTCTTTCTTTTTTTTAAAATCATCAAAATTGGTTGTTGGTGCTTCCCAGTAATTGTATTTTCTTTTCTTTTTTAAAATGTATTTTATTGATTTTTTACAGAGAGGAAGGGAGGGGGATAGAGAGTTAGAAACATTGATGAGAGAAAAACATTGATCAGCTGCCTACTGGGGATGTGCCTGCAACCCAGGTACATGCCCTTGAGTGGAATAGAACCTGGGACCTTTCAGTCAGCAGGCCAACACTCTAGCCACTAAGCCAAGCTGGTTAGGGCGTTAGTATTTTCTTTATCTTATTTTTTCCTTATGTATTCTTCAAGCATTTTAACATTTGTGAAATCTAGATGCTTCTTACAATGATGTGTACATTTAATGTAGTTATTCTTTTGCTGTTCTTCACGCTCTAAAAGCTCTTCTTTAATCAGGTAATCGCAGTGTCTTGGGTTCAGAAATATGATGTGATAGTTGGAGAAAATGGTACCTGAAGTATTATTTAGTGTTCTTACAAATTATGTGGTAGTTAATATGGCTTTTGACTTGAAATGGTTCTTTACTGTAAAGCTATGATACATGCTTGCAGGTGGACTTCAAACTGTAAAAATAGAATTCAACAGTTTCCATTTCTGTGAAATAAGATATTCTATTTGAATGGATTTTTAAATATATTTTTAATTATATTTTTTATTGATTTCAGCGAGGAAGGGAGAGGAAGAGAGAGAGAAATATCAAACTTGAGAGGGAATCCTTGATTGGCTGCCTCCTGCAAGCCCCACACTGGGGATGGAGTCTGCAACCTGGGCCTCTACCCTGACCTGGAATCAAACCATGACCTAGTTCATAGGTTAATGAACTCCGGCTAGGCTAGTGTTCATATTTTTAAAAATACTGGTTTTATATTTAGTGTAAATTAAAGTGTTGTTGTTGTTTTTTAATTATTATTAAGCAGCCATTTCTTGCATGCAATGCTTTCCTAGAGATAGCTTGCATTTTGAAAGATCTGTAGAGCAATAGCCACTATTCATGGAGAGTGTTTCTGTCCCTATTGCTTTTATGCATTCATATATTCATGGAAATTGGCAGATGGATGGTAACAATGTTGGAACTGAAGTACTAAATTTTTAATCAAATTGAAAAACTAAAAAAGACTATCATTCTAAAGGAGTTCCTCAATAAATCCTTTTGAATTGGGAAGTCGTCTATTGTATAAAAAAACTACTTTATGAAATTGTGATTTACACCCAACTTCCTCAAAAACTCATCTGTGACTCCCATGATAGAGCACTACCTATCTGATGTGGGACTCTCCAACAGTGGTGGTCTCTGGGGAAAATGTGTCCCTTTATTTGGACAGAACTGGAGAAGTGGTTTGGTGTAACTAATTTCAGACATTGTTGGAATCAAGAGCTGCTTTTTATTTACTCAGGATATGTGAATGGGACTAAAGGCAAGGCTTCTTTCTTGGTTTTGTTTCTGTTTTTATTTTAATAAACACAATATGACAATTTACAAAGTTATTTTCTAAACAAACAAAACAAAGAAGTATTCTGAGGGGTTATTTTTCAAGAAGGCAGTCTGTGTCCCCAGCATTTTAAAAGTGGCAGGACTTGCCATTGAGGCATATCAGGTCTTATTGTCAGCTGAGGGACAAGAGACAATCTAAGGGAGAAAAGTCCCAAATAGTTTAGATGATGCCCAGAAAGAGAATTGTTTGTAAGTGTCTTTCTGTTATGGGGTATGCTTAGTTTTATGTTCTAAACCCCTTGGTGCCAGTGTGTCTGGAGACTTCTAAATTATCTGATCACAGTTTCAAGAAGATGCTTGCTGCTCTGAAACACATATGTGATGTGTTGTCTTCTGCTGCTGTTTTATTTAATATTGCATCTTGGACTTTGAGTATGTTCTATTAAATAGAAGCTTCAAATCAGTTGCCTGTAATTCTTATCATTTATCTAGAACATAATGCACTTTTATTTTCTTTATAGGCATTTGACCTAACAGAACAAAGATATGTAGCTGTGAAAATTCACCAGTTAAATAAAAACTGGAGAGATGAAAAAAAGGAGAATTACCACAAGTAAGTGATACTAGAGTGTCTGATTTTTCAAAATTTAGTGATAATGGCTGAAGTTTGAGCACTGTATTAAAAGCTTTACATATATTGTTGTTTCATTTAATCCTTATAACTGTCCTAGGAGAGAATAACTTTCCCACCTTACTGATGAGGACTGATATGTAGGAAAATTTGAACAACAATTAAGAAATGGTTATATATGTAAAACTTTGAAAAATAAAGAATTAACGTTTAAAAAAGGGGAGGGGGGAAATAGCTGAGATGGTATTTAAATCTAGACTTCCCTTCATCCAAAGCCCATGCTCTTTACCTCCCCTTCCATTGTCTTGTATAAAATTAGCTACAATAAACAAAGCCCCAGAAATAGGCTTGTTCTTGTCTATGGAAATCAGAGGAGAGAGTCCTTTAGTGGTTGGGAGACCCTGGGAGGTGACTAAGTAGGACTTTTTATGAAGGAGACAGACGGGGAGAAGGGGGGGGGGGACGGGACGGGACGGGACCTGGTGTGCCTCAATGGTACTTATTTGGCTTGTTCAGCTCCTCTGCTGTGCTCACCTCCCCTGGCATAGTTTGCCAGTCTTCAAGTTTTTTATCTTAAGTGTCCCATTTATTGTGCTTGCCTCTTCAAAATGCCACTAGTGCTGGCCCTCATCTGCACTTGGGGTCGGGGATGGGGGGCGCGGGGGCTTCTTTAGAATGAATAGTCATTATATGTACAGCTGACAATTTCTTTGTTCCACTAATGTCAGGCTATGCTTGTTTCCTCTGAGCTTCTGAACACTGGAGGCCATGCAGAATCAATTTGCTATTAAGATCCCCACTGTGCTTAATGTTGTTTCCTTGTTGTAGGTATAAGTACTGAGTTAGACATGTGCTTTTTTTTTTTTAGTTGATTTCAGAGAGGAAGGGAGGGAGGGAAGGAGGGGCAGGAGGGAGAGAGAGAGAGAGAGAGAGAGGGAGAGGGAGGGAGGGAGGGAGGGAGGGAGGGAGGGAGGGAGGGAGGGAGGGAGGGAGGGAAACATCAATAATAAGAAAGAATCATTGATTGGTTGCCTCCTGCATGCCCCACACTGGGGATTGAGTCTGCAAGCCTGGAACATGCTTTGACCAGGAATCTAACCTGATCTCTTGATCAATAGGTTGATGCTCAACCACTGAACCGCACTGGCTCAGTGAGATGGCCTCATTTGCTATAAAGAACCCACCTCTTTTCTCCAAAAGCAATTTTGTTTTTTTTTCTTATAAATAGTTCTTTGGAGGGGGAAAAACAATGGACTTTAAGTAGCCTTTTAGTTGGCTTCTAAATCTCAAAGGAAAAAATAAACATTTCTACATTATCAACCACTTTTTCACCCATGGACAAAGGCAACTCCTGCTTTATGCCTTGTTCATTGGGGACCCAGGAACTCTTCCTATTCCATGCAGATTGGCAAAGGCTCTTGGCCGTGGGAAAGAGAACGTTCCTGTTGTAGTGAGAGAGGAGGCTTAGCAGAGGTAGGAGAGGGGATTGTATGTGGTTCATGCATGGCATTCTGTATGAGTATCTTACGTGACAGGCAGCTGCAGGCCAGATGCTTCTGAGGGGCAGTTACATTATTATAAGTACATTCCAGTCACTTGACGTGCAGGGACTGGCGGGCTTCAGTGAATGCCAGGAGCATTTCAGAGAAGGAAACTACATGTTGTTCGACCCAGTTATAAATGAGAAATGTCCCCATTATATTGAGACCTTCAGAATGCCTGAAAGTGTCGGAACAGTATATGTTCCTCTTTTAAAATATCCTCCAGCAGTCATGTATGTACTGACCACTAAATCAATTGACTCTACAAGGGATCAACTTTGGTCCCTTGTAGAGTCAACCAAGACTATCTTCTCAAGAAGATACTTCCTGTGCCAGGATCTGTACATATTTTGCCTACTCTCAGTATTCAGCTTCTAGGCTGACCTTAAAGAGAACTCTAGTAGGTGTTCACATCCCAGCGGTTTGAAACTGTGAGGTATTGAAGCCAGGACTGTGTACCTCCTTGACACATTGGGCAAGTCCTGGTAGGTATGAACTGGTTGTCTTTCTCACATTTCTCTTTCAGACAGAGAGCAAATGGAGGAGTTTGTCTCATGTTTCTTAGCTCCTTACTGACCCAGCTCAGGCTTATAGTGGTGCCTTCCTACTCTTTGTTTCCTCACCAGAGGTGGGAATCAATATGTCTGACCACCTCTGGAGCCATGGGGGTAGTGGCCATTTCCTAGTTGACACTGGGGAGAGGGTGTGCAAAATTATTATGACCTCCATTCATCCTTCAGGGAAAATCCTTAAGCATTTCCACCTTACTTTGAAAGATATTGCTTGCTAAGTGATATGAAATCATATTGATGAATTTAAGGCTATAGAAAATAATGAATTAGAAAAATGTCATTAACTTCTTTGACCTTAAAGAGGTTTATATTGAATTCAACTATGTCAAGAGGAAAAAGAAAGAGGTTTATATGAAGCACATAACAGATTTTAGAGAGTGCTTACAAATTCAGTATTAAACTAAAAAGTAGTATGTGGCAATATTATAAAAGATGAAAATGCTACTCTAACCCTGCAAAGTAGATCTTTAGTTGCTTTTCCTTTCATGTGGATGACTTTCCAGTCCCACTTGGAATCAAGACATTTATTTGGGTAAAAAAGGAAAAAAAATAAAAGAAAATAAAAGGCTCTGTTTTGAATGTTGAGTTATATTCTGCATCTCCTTTCCTCTCCTCCTTACCCAGAAACAAAAAGTAAACTGATTGTTTTACTTTTGCATTATTAAATGCATTAATAAGTATTACTAGATTTCTTTAATGCCCCAACATAATATATTAAAAACTCTATAGAAGGATAATTTCAAATAAAACTTTCTGCAAAAATAGTTGCATTTTAATTAGTATATTCTTGTAGGATACTCTTTTCTAATCTTCTAGGATAACATAATTTTGAAAGCCTAAATATATATACATTTTAAGAGAGTCAAAGATTAACACTTTAGTGGATAAGTTTCTTAGTATAGTTTCTGTATTTATAGTGCATTAATCCCTTGGATGCTAAGTTGAAATATGAGGCCATGGCAGAACTACTGCCTTGCCTGATGAAACATGAGAAGCGGGCCTAGAGCCTGATGTGACCTTGAGGGATAGCTTTCAGTGACACACAGCAACTTCCCTTAGTTGGTGAGGAGTTTGAATGACACTTCCTTTGATTCTTAATTTTTGCCTCCATTCATTTATTCTGTGTTCTGTACCTTGACAGAAATTGGTCTCTACTCTGAAATGCACAAAATCAAAACGTTAAAAGTGCAGGGAACTATCCTATATAATAAAACCCTATTATGTTGTGTCCAGTTGACCATTCAGCCAATCAAAGAGTAATATGCTAATGATATGCTAAGGTCACTCAAACACTTGCTGTGATGTGCACTGAACACCAGGGGACACGCCCTGAAGCCCTCCCGTGTTCCCTCCCTGGCTGGCCAACAGCCTGCATCCCTCCCTGGCCCCAATCGTGCCCCAGTAGGGTCCCTTGGCCTGGCCTATACTATCTCGCAATCCAGGACCCCTTGGGGATGTCGGAGAGCCAGTTTTGGCCTGATCCCACAGGCTAGACCGAGGGACTCCACTGGTGCATGAATTTGTGCACTGGGCCTCTAGTGGATTTATAGTATGCTAGAGTAAAAAAATGACTTGAACAGATATCTATTTAGTCCATAGGTTTCTAAACTTATTTTTTGTTTTAATCCCCACCCAAGGATATTTTCTTCATTGGTTTTTAGAGAGAATGGAAGGGAAGGAGGGAGAGCAGAGAGAGAGAGAGAAACATCACGGTGAGAGAGAGCCACACATGGATTGGTTGCCTCCTGTGTGAGCTCCGACCAAAGCTTGAAATCTGCAACCTAGGTAGGTGTCCCTGCCAGGAGTTGAACTTGAGCCCTTTTGGTCTGCAAGCCTATGCTCTAACCACTGAGAAACCGACCAGAGCTTAAACTAGTTTGTTTTTTGAACAGCATCCCCTTTATTTTACCAAATGAAATGCTACACCAATCCTGATATGTGAAAAAGGATAGTGTGGAGCTGCTTGGTGGATGGGGAGTTGGGCCAAAGCCACCTGCTTTGCTCAGCGTCTCCACAGGGGCTTCGGAGGCATGGATCTCCAGGGGCCCCTTCAAAGCTGTCAATCCAGTACAGTGGTGGCGAAGCCCAGTGAGGTGGGCCACAAAGCCCAGACTCAATCCAGGTGTCTTGGTCCCAGGGTAGAGGCTGTTCTAACGCTACTCTAAGTGGGGCAAGTCTTTCTTTTCAGAGAGACACAAAGATGATGAAATGAAGCATCAGAAGAAGCAAAAACTGCCAGAAGTGGCAGCTTGAAAAATAAGCCTAGTCCAACAGTTTCCATTGGGGGAAAATATATTTTATATATATACTTTTAGATTTCAGTCTCCTCTTTCTCCCTGCCAATTGTTTTCTCAACTTTCTGTTGGAATACACCAGTTTCAGAAAATACTACTTCTTTTAGTTGTTGTGTGTGTGTGTGTGTGTGTGTGTTTATTATATTATGGGAAAATTTTTTTAAGCATTTCTTTTTATATATATATTTCATTAATTTTTTTACAGAGAGGAAGGGAGAAAGAAAGAGAGTCAGCAACATTGATGAGAGAGAAACATCAATCAGCTGCCTCCTACACACCCCCCACAGGGGATGTGCCCCCAACCAAGGTACATGCCCTTGACTGGAATCAAATCTGGTACATGCCCTTGAGGCCGCAGGCTGATGCTCTATTCACTGAACCAAACTGTTAGGGCTAGAAAATTTTTTTCAAAATGCCCCAAACTAAATGGTGCTATGTTACTTAAAATATAATCATTTCCTGTTGTTCTCTGAAAAGAACTAAATAAAAATTATTTGTAATTACATTGTATAAATATGTTCTATTCTAAAATTCAGTGTATGAATATGTCCTAATATATATTTGTGTTCCTAATCTTATTAAATGATTCTAAATTGGAAAAGTACTAAATAAAAACTCTTAACATGTATTTAAATTCTTGTTCCAAAGAAAACTGGGGTTTCTATAATTTCACATTTTCTATCAATTTCCCATTTCCTTAGAAAAAAGTAAAGCTGATAGCCCTTTAAATCCTTTTTGTAAGGAGTAGGATTAAAAAATATGCGAAGCGATGCTAATTGCTTTATATAACCAATAATCCTTTTACCCAAGGAGTTTATATGCTAATTGTTCCCCTTCATGAAACACCAGGATATAAACATTTATAAAGTATCAGTTTAGAAGAGGAAAAAACTGTCTTTATAATTTTTAAAGCTCTAATATTTGGATATAGTTATAAAAGCGGTAAGATTGTCACTGAATGAACTTTGAAAGGATGAAAATCCATTCATTTCAACAAATATTTGAGTGCCTATTATCTTCTCAATAGCTTGGTAGATGCTAATAGAGAAAATAGGATGAGGAAAGATAAGGAAACCAGATGGAACTGAATGAATAGGTAGAAACACTAGAGAAATAAGAAAATATGTAGGATTGCCGGGACCGGTTTGGCTCAGTGGATAGAGCGTCGGCCTGGGGACTGAAAGATCTCGGGTTCGATTCCGGTCAAGAGCATGTACCTTGGTTGCGGGCACATCCCTAGTAGGGGATGTGCAAGAGGCAGCTGATCGATGATTCTCTCTCATTGATGTTTCTAACTCTCTATCCCTCTCTCTTCCTCTCTGTGAAAAATCAATAAAATATATTTTTTTAAAAGAAAAATTAAAAAAAAAAAAAAAAGGAAAATATATAGGATTATCCTTGATGAGTTCTAAAAGACAAGCCAGAATACAAATGTTAATTTTCCATTTTATTTACAGGCATGCATGTAGGGAGTACCGGATTCACAAAGAACTGGATCATCCCAGAATAGTTAAACTGTACGATTACTTTTCACTGGACACGGACTCGTAAGTGCCGCACCATTTCAGCTTAGTAATTAATGCTATTTTTTTGTAGTGTGTTGACTACTCATGGAATAGAGTTTAAATCTGGGCCCAAGTTTAAAAACTCCTTGAGGGAACCAAATATATTTTTTTATGGGCAAATAGTTGTATGGGAATTAAGAAATCTCTTGGCCATGGGATGTGTGCAATTGATGCTATAAATGTTTAACATCCAATTTGGTAGGGATAATTTGTAATGTTTGCCGATTTCTGTGTTATAAAATCTTTCAACATATCCAGTTTCAAGCTATCAATTAAACACACACACAGCTTTATTAAAATATAACTTTAACCTTTCACTCTTTTAAAGCAGCAATTTTCAACCTTTTTCATCTAATTTCACACATAAACTACTAAAGTTCTGTGGTACACCAAAAAATATATTTAGCCAATCTGACATTTAAAAATAGTTATAGTTTTTATTCACTCATACCCAACAGCTATTGTGTTGGCTGTTGTCATCTTTTTATTTGACAGTCTCAAGGTAAAAGAGGTCAGTGTCCCTGACTAAAATTTTCGTGGCACACCGTGTATAATAAATTCAGTGGTTTTTATAGTATATTCACAGAATGCACCACCATCTTCATAGTCAATTTTAGAACATTTTCATCACCTCAAAAAGAAACCTTGTACCTTTGTTATCATCTCTCTCTTTCTCCACCTCCTACCCCAAGCCCTAAGCAACCACTAATCTACTTTTTTACCCTCTAGAGTTCCTATTCTGGACTTTCATGTGAATGGGTCGCATAGACGTGGGCTATTGAGACTGGCTTTTTTCACTTAGTATTATTTTTTTCCAAGGTTTATCCTTTTTGTGTCATGTATCAGAACTTCCTTTTTATGATCAGATATATTCTATTTTTTAGCTGTAACTGCCTTTTGTTTACCCATTTATTCTACCAGTGGCTTAATAACCAGCTCACAAAATTCCTGGAAGTTTAACTGTCAGCTCTCACACAAATTGGTGCTAGCATCCTACTTACAAGCACCAGTGAATGTGGACTGTTCAATCGCGTCTCCGTCCCACCCTGGAGACTGATGAACACTGACAGACCTTTCAAAGGTGTTAAAATATAGGTTCTTAGCTTTATAAGATGTTAGAATTGGGAGGGATCTCAGTTCAGCCTTCTCATTTTATAGGTGGAGATTTGAGAATCAGAAGTCTAAGACCTTTAATAATTTTGAGTATTGTTTTTTCATTACTAGTATAAGTAAGCTCTAGTACTACCTCTCGGTTTATCCAACGGTTGAGAAATATTTCAGCATTTGGAAACATTATCTTTGTAGGAGTCTGAACAGAGTCAGGTGAACATATTTTGGATGTGGCTTGCAAGTATTCCGCTAGACCCCCCAGTGTGATTTTAGGAGTTTTGGCCTGTTCAGGCAGCAGCTATCTCAGAAATTTCTATACAGAGAACCAACCCACATTTAGAAGTGACCTCAAAGAGAGACCACAGTTCTGTTTGGGAACATACACTATCGTCTCTGGGATTTCCCATTTCCAAATGTGTTTACCATGGATTGGGGTTGAGAAAAATATCTAGTTAGAAGAGAACAGGTCTCCACAGGTGGCTTTACTGTTTTGTTTTGAGTAAATCCATTGAACACTAGATAGGACCCTTACCCTCCTCTCCAAAACATAAGTACAAAAACTGTTTCAAAGATAATAAATATGACGACTTTGATTATCTGCTGTTTTGAATTGTATACATACTTTAAACTTATCTGAGAAATTGAGTTGAATCTGTGCTATTCTTGAGTTGTTTACTTTGTTCTTCCTATAGTGTGTATGATGAATTTTCATCAACAATAAGTAAGACCAGCATTTTTGAAAGGACAAACCTAGACACAAAAATATTTTAAAGATATAAATATATACTGTATATGCTATATAATCTATTTTAGGCTATAATATGTTTTCTTTTTTAAAAATAAAATGTCTCTAATACAAAAAATAAAAAGAACAAAGACCTCTGTGAGTTGTTTGAGTTTTAAAAGTGAGATTTTATTTTCACTTTGCATTTGGGTCAAAGCATAAATCTCAGGCATAAATCAAATAAGAATCCATCTCTCAGATTTCCGTGTCTCAGTTCAGAGAATCTACAAATTTCAGACATTTTCAAATAGAGTGCTAGTATGTATCATAAGGGGCATAAAGCTGTTGTTCAGTTTGGGATCCCACAAGGCTGTTGTTCAGTTTGGGAGTCCACATCACATTGCATCGCATTTTGAAGGCTTCAAATTGCCCGGGGGCCTATAGTTCAGTCCTGAGTTTGTTTGCTCTCCTGTCTGCTCATTCTTCCCCTGTTCTGCATCTTAGGTGAGTTGGCCCTTGCAGGCTGTGTTTGTGTGTCAGTTGTTGATCAACTGGGTTCAGCCAATAGGAAAACAGAGATGGTGGGGGATAGAGGACACCCCTCCCTCATTGTGGTTCCACTTTCCCTTGGTGACCCTGGGTTCTGGTTGCACCATCTCCCTCTGGCCCTCTAGCCTTAGGGTGCTAATGGCTTCCTTCTCTAGGTGATCTCTGGGGGACCTCACTGGCCAGTTGTCTTCTCAGGTCTTTCATCATCTTAAGTTTTCAGTTCCCTGAATTAAAGCCTCTCAAGTGATTTTTATTTCCTGGCTAGACTCCGGGTCATACAACCATACTGTCAATCGTTTAAAAGGTATTCTTCTCAGGACTACTCAAACCGTTCAAGATGCCTTGCTTCAGTTTATAACTGCCTTCAAAGATAAACACATGCAATTTTAAATTTGGGTCTGTTTAATGTATTGATATAAGTGAAGGAAGAAAACCCATACTATGTAATAACACATTTGTTATAACCACTTTTATACCTTGTGTTTAGTAAAGAGAAATGGTAGAAGTACTGTATTGTGATAAACTGCCAGGAGGCATGGTTTGAAATCAATCCTTGGGGCAAACCTGAGATTTTTTTTCCTCACTGTCAGCACTCAGGATCATTGAAAATGTTTGTAGTGAGAACTGTGTATTTGATCACATATGCTTGTTTAGAAATGGGATGTAGCTTGGATATGAAAGGAAACCCTTCCATAAAGATGCCTACCTTAAATACATTGCAGTTGAGGTGTGCCACGTGTGAGCTTTATTTAGCACAAGATTTCAATGTGGGGGTCATGGAGGCTCCACACCAAGAGAGTAAAGGGTTTCTTCCTCTGCCCATTCAAGTAGTTAGCACTGAATAAAGAATAGAAGAGTTTTTTTTTAAGGAACAAAGAAGAAAGGAGAAGCTAATGACCTGAAGTTTTCACTGGGACTGGTTTAGTTAGTCTTAATCTGCTTGCTCTCATCTCGCGGTCAAATGTTGGTTTATTTGTCTTTAGGTTTTGTACAGTATTAGAATACTGTGAGGGAAATGATCTGGACTTCTACCTGAAACAGCACAAATTAATGTCGGAGAAAGAGGCCCGATCCATTATCATGCAGATTGTGAATGCTTTAAAGTACTTAAATGAAATAAAACCTCCCATCATACACTATGACCTCAAACCAGGTATGTTTAACTTTTAGGAGACAGTATTGGTGGCTTTTCTTTGGTCTTATAAATGACTTAATTTTTTCACGTGAGAGAATTTGGCAGGAGCCAGGAAGGCTAACACCATCTGACTTCAGATTGCTTAGTAGGTGTGGGAACAGAAGAGCCCTGGCCACAGAGCACTGGGTTTGGGAGGGCGGGTCCTAACAAATGCTCCGGAGAAACAAGCCCTGCCTTCAGAGCCAGGCGGTTCATGATGTCAGCCCGTTAGGAAAGAACTGCTCCGCTTTGTTTTCGCATTACTCACCCTGCACAGCAGTTCCTCTACTCCAGGTCTCTGATAGTGCTCAAAATTAACACCTTATTTTGCACATTAAGTTCCGAGCAGAGTTTTTCACCTTTTTGTATGGTTACTATCTAACTTGGATAGCCATCAGCAAAAAGTAGAGGGAAGTTGGATTTCTCGCCTCTACTCTTTGTTGATGTGTTTGCTGTGGACAGCTCCAACCAGCTTAGCTTTGGTGTTAGGAAGGGGATTCCCATTTACCTCCTGGTGTGGCACCGTTGTAAAGCTTGCTTTCCTCTTCTGGTAGCTACATATTAACTCTCACGACTCATTATGCTTTAATGTTCTAATACAGTTCACATGACTAAAAAAATCCATTACGATGAAGTGCTTTTTTTAAAGAGTGGCCATTGTGTGATTGGATTTTCCATCACTGAATCCAATACATTTTCCTGCCTTAGGAGCTGTAGGTGGCACTGTGGTACTATCTTTCATTCCCTTGTATGTTTTCTTTGACAACCCCTCCCTCCCCAAATGAATGTTCTAAACACCGTGGTTTAGAGATCTTTACTGAAAGTTCAGATGAAACTTTCCCACAATATTTGACCAACTGTACAAGTGATATTTTACTTTGACGAGTTATAATTTATTTCCACTGCTCACAGTGGTGGTTTTAGAACATTAAGCAGGTGATTCTTGGAAAATAGAAGGTTGCAGCCAGACACTGAGGAGTCTTCCCCTGCATTCAGAGTCCAGATCTCATTTTATTCTGGGGATTGAGATGTGTGTGTGGTATTGCATGCAGGACTTTGAGTTCAGTTGTCTTTTTTGTCTGTTATTACTTGGCTTTTACTCTTAATTATTAAGTCTCTTTTTATTAATTAGGATTTTGATCTTTTTAGGTAATATTCTTTTAGTAAATGGTACAGCGTGTGGAGAGATAAAAATCACAGATTTTGGTCTTTCCAAGATCATGGATGATGATAGCTACAACTCAGTGGATGGCATGGAACTCACGTCACAAGGTGCTGGTACTTATTGGTAGGTATCTGGGAGATCTGCCAGGTTGGCTGGTGGTGTGGCTGTGTTATACTGAAGCGTTGATAATTAATAGTTAATACCTACATCCTTTCTGCTTGGGCAATAATGCTGTAAATATAAACCAAAGCAGATTTTCCTCCCCAAAAGTTACTGTCTTTTCAGTAAACTTTTGTTTGACTCTTATATTTATACTAGAGGCCTAGTGCACGAAATTCATGTACGGGTATGGGAAGAATCCCTTAGCCCAGTCTGCACCGTCTCCAATCCGGGACCTCTCAGGGGATGTCCGACTGCCAGTTTAGGCCCCACCCAATAGACTGGCAATCTGGGATCACTGTTTCCCAACCGCTCACTTGCCTGCTGGCCTGATCCCCCTAACTGCTCTTCCCTGCCAGCTTGATCCTCTTAACTGTTCTCCCCTACCAGCGTGATCCCTAACTGCTCTCCCCTGCCAGCCTGATTGCCCCTAACTGCTTGCCTCTGCCTTGGCCCCACCACTATGGTTTTGTCCAGAAGGTTGTCTGGAAGATGCCTGATCTAATTAGCATTTTATCCTTTTATTAGTATAGATTTATGCCTTAATATTTCTTTCCTTTCTTGAAAACCATTGAGAGAGATTATGTGTGATCAGGTGTATGAGCTGTGTGTTTCCTCCTTAGGGTCGGCCCTAGCGAGTAGGTAAAGAAAGAGGTTGCTCATTTGTATATCAAGAATGGCCCTAGGAGAATCCAAGATGGCTGCACAGGTAAACACCTAGTCGCAGCCGCACACAACAATTTCAATAAAATACAACTAAAATATAAAATGGAAATTACCCAGAATTACAGGAAAGTCGACTGACTGGAAATTCTACTTGAAGCAAGGAAAAAACCAGAAGGAAGAGCGGAGGAGCTGTAAAAGCCTAAGGTACGGAGACACGCGGCGCGCGGAGAGGTAGTCCCAGAGACGCGCACATTATGCGCAGAGGAAGGACTGTTGACTCTGCTGCCAGGTTGCCCTGGCAGGAAGGAGACAGGGACTCCAGACTGCTCTGAACGCCACCTCCAACCCCACTTCCAACTGAACTGAATCCCAGTTCTGGGCTCATTGGGGGAGAGCCTACACTGTTTGATAACAGGTGAAAATCGAGGACACCTTTCTCTTAGAGGTGCTTGCAGCGAGTACTGAAGGACCCTGGGGATTACTGAGACTCAGGAACCACATAGGGCGTGGTTGATGGAAGCCAAGCCTGTAGGCTCCACCCTGAAACTCCGCCCCATCAGGGAAGCGACGAAAATGCCAAGACAACGAAATAGATCACAAATGAAAGAAATGGAGGACAAAGAGCGACTGGATATAAGAGTTCAAAACCACACTTATAAGGTTGTTCAAGAATCTCCTAGAAAAGGCCGATAAAATAAACGAGATCTATGAGGATATGAAAAGGGATCAACAAGAAATAATAAGGGATCAACAAGAAACAAAGAATACATTGTCTGAAATAAAAAATATTATACAGAGTCTTGGAAGACCACAAGAATCAAGTCAAAGATTTGGAATATAAAGAGCCCGAAGACACTCTTCTGCAGACGCAAGAAGGCAAGAGAATCCAGGAAAATTGAAGATAATGTAAGAAATCTCTGGGACAACTTCAGGCAAACCAACATCAGAATTATGGGGGTCCCAGAAGATGAGAGAGAGCAAGATATCGAAAACATACTGAAAGAGCCGAAACCGGTTTGGCTCAGTGGATAGAGCGTCGGCTTGGGGACTGAAGGAACCCAGGTTCGATTTCGGTCAAGGGCATGTACCTTGGTTGCGGGCATATCCCCAGTGGGGGGTGTGCAAGAGGCAGCTGATCGATGACTCTCTCTCATCGATGTTTCTAACTATCTCTCTCTCTTCCTCTCTGTACAAAAATCAATAAAATATATTAAAAAAAAAAAAAAAAGAAAACTGAAAGAAATAGTGACAGAAGACTTCCCCCACCTGGTGAAAGAATTAGACTTACAGGAAGTGCACAGAACTCCAAACAAAAGGAATCCAAAGAGGACCACACCAAGATAATTAAAATTCCAGGAGCAAAAGACAAAGAGAAAATATTAAAAGCAACAAGAGCAAAGCAGGTAGTTACCTATAAAGGAGCACCTATACAATTGTCAGCTGATTTCTCAACAGAAACCATGCAGGCCAGACGGGAATGGCAAGAAATATTCAAGGTGATGAATAGTAAGAACCTACAGCCAAAATAATCTATCCAGCAAAGCTATCACTCAGAATCGAAGGCCAGATAAAGAGCTTCACTAATAAAAAAAAGTTAAAGGAGTTCATCACCACCAAACCAGAATTATATGAATTGCTCAAGGGGGTTCTTTCAGAAGAGAAAGTAAATAAAGATAAAAATTATGAACAACAAGTGAATCTAAAAACCAAGGAAATTTTTTTAAAAACCTGATGAACAATATTAACTGTTGAATATAATAGAATCAGAGGTATGGAAGGGGAGTGAACTAACGATTCTTAGGGAAAAGGGAAGAGGGGGATGTGGGAAGAGAATGAACATAAACTGTGCACCTATGGATGAGGACAATGCGGGGTGTGGAAAGGGCAGAGGGTGGGATGGGAACCTGGTGGAGGAGAGCAATGGGGGGGGGGGAAGAGGAACATTTGTAATAATATGAACAATAAAGATTTATTAAAAAAAAAAAAAAGTAAATGGACCCCCCTATTCCTCCCCCCAAAAAAGAAAAAGAAAAAAAGAATGGCCCTAAATTCTTCTCAGTACAAATGCAGGTCTCTCTCTTCAGGAGTTAATGGGCTGAAGGATTTGTTTCCAGAATTGCCCAAGGATGATGAATTCTCAAGAACTAAGGAATTTTGAAGATCAGTATGTCAAGTAATCAGGATGTAAAAAGCAACCCTTAAAATCTAAACAGGAAAAAGTTTGCAATTTGCCAGGAAATGTAATCCATGTCTCTCAGCCAAATTTCCTCCCCTCTCATCTCTCATCTCTCATCTCTCCCCAACCACTCTGCCTTGCTGCCTGTTCTGTGACCATCCTACTTCTGCCTAGCATGACTTTTGATAGTGAGAACCATACAAGATACCTACAGCTCAGGCATTTAACTTCGTTTTTGTAAGTGTGTGTTAACAGAGCTGCCTTTTCATATCTGTGTGATCCTGAGCATGAAGGAAGTTTCCCGGAGCAGCACAAAGGGATGGGGAACACATGCTATTACTCCCCAGTGTCAGTTGGTAGATCACTTCTGTTTGAGTCTAAAGATTAGTTAGTGACTGTCTGGGAGTGAAGGTGCTGATCTGAAGCAGACAGAGAAGAATGGGGGAATATCTTTTATAACATGTAGGATCAGCCCTGTTCTCATTCAGTCTGATCATATTTAAGTTATGTGCATTAAAGAACAATCAAATCCTTCTTAAAAAAAACTCACAAAGTTTCTGATGTTTCTCATTGTTTGTGGAGATGGTTTCTATCCTGAAAATTAGTCACTAAATTAAAACTTTGGAGATTCCAAGTTTAAAATAAAAGCTACAGTTATAGTGTTTATTCACTATGGTGGTTATTGTGGGTTAGTGTTCCTGTCACTAATTGATACAGAAATATCTGCTGTTGGAAATTTTGGAAACAGATAAATTCACTGGAACTTAAATTTGAGTTTTTTGTTTGATAGTGTGTTCTTTTTTTCATGTATATTTAGGTTTCTCATTGCTACCTATTCTGTTCTGTATTTGCTAAGCTATAAAAATTCAGTGGATAGAATTTAAAGAAAAATTATATGATTTTTGGGATTTGCTTCAAGGCAATCTGAGGAGAGTGGAAGGGGTGTATATGAATAAGGACTCACTGAGTGTTGGTAGGAGGTTTTTCTAAAAAAAATATTGATTTTTTTTTTACAGAGAGGAAGAGAAAGGGATAGAGAGTTAGAAACATTGATGAGAGAGAATCATCAATCAGCTGCCTCTTGCACAGCCCCTACTGGGGATGTGCCTGAAACCAAGGTACATGCCCTTGACCGGAATCGAACCCGGGACCTTTCAGTCCGCAGGCTGACGCTCTATCCACTGAGCCAAACCGGTTTCAGCTTGTTTTTTAATAGTAAGAAGCAAGGTAGAAAGGGCTACTGAGAAAATCAAATTTTATGGGTTTTTATTAAAGTTTAAAAGTTTCCATATTGATAGAAACATTGTCATAATCACCATCTTCAATATATCATCCTCTGTAATGTCCCAGAGAGCTGCAAAATAGACAGGGGGACATAATTCTAAGTGACTCTGTGATATTTAGTTGTTCTAGAATTATTCTACATTGAATACTACTTTTAAGTAAGTGACTGGTAGAGTAGGCCTTGAGAATAATTTTTCTCTGAGGATTATATTGTCGTGGAATATGCAGCTGTGTTTTGTGGGGGGTTTTTGTGTGGGGTTTTTTTGTTGTTGTTTTTTGTTTTTTAAATTTTTAGTGTAGGATCATAGAACTGTCATCTACTCTTCCTCCCAAATTCCTTGATAGGGAATCAGAATGCTTATTATTTTCAGTATTTGGGGGAAGAACTAATTTGTTTCTTTATTTTGTTACTGAGACCTAGAAAGTGATTTGCCAGACTTCTATTAAGTGGCAATGTCTTTTGTATTCTAAATATTTGGCTAAATTATTACTCTGCATATCGACAAGTTCAACAACATCTGTTCTTCCCCACCACCTCCACAAAAAAGTTATAAATATATTAAAATTATCATTTAGAATAAAAATTCTATTTGTTATATATCTAATATCATATTTGATTTATGTATTAAAGAGTCAAAACCCATGAAAACTAGGAAAGAGCTCTTTTTATTTTATTTTTTTTAATTGATTTCAGAGAGGAAGGGAGAGGTAGAGGGAGAAACATCAATGATGAGAAAGAATCATTGATCAGCTACCTCCTGCACACCCCCCACTCGGGATCAAGCCCGCAACCCAGGCATGTGCCCTTAGCCAGAACCAAATCCCTTTAGTCCACAGGCCTAATGCTCTATCCACTTAATCAAACCAGTTAGTGTGAGCTGTTTTTAAAATAAATTATTTTTTCTATATTGTTTCTGTGCCATTTCCCCCCTTTTTGTGATTTCTATATCTGTATTTTTATTTCTCAGTGTGTGTTTTGGCTAAAAATTTTTATTGTGAAATAGCAATCTAGGCCAGTGGTCTTAATCATCCAGAAATGTCTGTTAAAAATGATAAGAGAAACAGCATGAAACTAAACTTCTTTTTAAAAAAAGAAGAAAGCCCATCATCTGCACATTTTCTGCCTCTCAACTCTTGTGGTCCCCTTCAAGCTATAAATTTAGATTTTTATACTAAAGCATAGCAAGCTTTAAGATAGTTTCACAGAATTTATTTTGCCAGTATGAAATCTGCAGGAACCAAGATTTTTATCTAGACTTCCACCTTCTAGCGGTGCCATGGCTAAGACTCTAGGCAATGAGTAGAAGCATATTTGTTTGGTTTCCTAAATGCCAAGAGGCACTTACCTTCCGTACCATACAATTTGGTGTGGTTGGCTGTCCAGTCAGTCTTTTTAGAGGCCAGGGGTGGCTGGAGGGAAGGAATTCAGACGAGAATTGAGTTATTCTAACAAGTGGTTTGTTTAGCTTTTTATGCACTGTTAGTCTTCTAGTAATCCCTTGATCGCCCTTAAAGTGGGAAATGTAAAATGTATTTTGATAATACAGACTTCACTGCCACTATTGATTATATATTGTAGTTATTTCCAGTCTAGGAACTACATTAAGAAGAGAGCCATTCTCCTTAGAGATTTTTTCAGGGTCCTGAAATCATTGGGACTTTCAAAATAGTTTTTTTTTTTTTTTTTTTTAACAACATCTTTAGCCAATATGAAAGGAAACTGATAACACCTCTAGTTAGATTTAATGTTTTTTGATGCAGCTGTTATAAAAGGGAGTACACATCATTTATGCCCCCCTCCCCCCTTAAACCTTTGTTGAATGATACTTATATTAGGAACAACCCTGGGAAAGGAGGCTGGAGTGGGTGAAATAGGAACCAAAGAGAATATTTACCTCTCTCAGTGAGTAGAGAAATGTATTTTAAATTTTCATAGGACATTATTGCCTTATTTTAGAGTGTCTTTTCATCAACTTTCTCCAGGTAGGTCTAAGTTGCTTTTTCAGCTGTTAAAATTCAGATATTTTCATTTCCAACAAGCTGTTTACCTTTGCCTGTACATGTCTTAGATTTATACAGTTATTTTTCTGAGAATTGTTATTTCCCTCTTTTCCCAGGTATTTACCACCAGAGTGTTTTGTGGTTGGGAAAGAACCACCAAAGATCTCAAATAAAGTTGATGTCTGGTCAGTGGGTGTGATTTTCTACCAGTGTCTTTATGGAAGGAAGGTAAGAAAGAGGTCAGATGTTTTGGATTAACTTCTGTCTTGGGTGATATATGTACAAAGTGGTATGATGTGGATTCTTCTCTTGGGGTTAATCATTGGATTATACAAAATGGAATCTTGAAATTTGTGGTGTAAACAAAATACAGAATTATAATAGCTTTATGTATAAGCAGAAAATTTTGACCCTGGAGCACTTAATGAATTCTGCTGGGACTCATGTGGAAAACATGTATTTTTTGCTGTACTCAATTAGATCCAAGATATGTTTTGGTTCTAATAATATGGTATAGGGAATTATGTGAATTAGTTTATTAAAGTAAACAATCTTGCCGAAACTGGTTTTACTCAGTGGATAGAGAGTCAGTCTGCTTACTGAAGGGTCCCAGGTTCGATTCCGGTCAAGGGCATGTATACGTTGGTTGCGGGCACATCCCCAGTGGGGGGTATGCAGGAGGCAGCTGGTCGATGTTTCTCTCTCATCGATGCTTCCGGTTCTCTATCCCTCCCCCTTCCTCTCTGTAAGAAATCAATAAAATATATGTAAAAAATAAATAAAGTATACAGTCTTTCCAGGAGCCATTCTTAAGGGTCCCCAAACCTGAAACTTGAAATATTGGCAGGGTCCTTTATTCCCAACAACCCCATTAGTTAAAGCCATTATTAATAAAAGCATGCTTTATATTTCTATACTGGGAGGAGGTGGTGTCAGAAAGTATTTATTGTCTGTTACCTCTAATCAAAGTGACATATCATTAGAACAAGTAATAACCTAGGTAGTAAAGTATAACCTAGTGAATTTTCACATTTGTTTTTTTTTCCTTGAGCACAGTCCTATAAATGTATGTATTAGGACCTAGCTGTGTATTTCTACTCGTATTTCTGCTGTCGATGTGTTCGTATGCTTCAGTGCTCTCCTTAGGCTGTGGGGATAAGCCTTTTGGGAGTTCTGCAACTCTCCTGGACTCTTAGTATTTTGGTTACAATCCCCAGACCGAGCTCCTTTTAACTTCTTGTTTTCTTTATTTATCCCACTTCTCTAATCAGGAAGCTATTCAGAAGTAGGAGGGGTTAATTATTACGATACTTAAAATTAACTGATAATGTGGAAGTGTTGAGCTTTTAATTCAGATTTTAGGTTCCTCCTTTAACTTCTTGATTTCTTTGTTTATTTATCCCACTTCTCTAATTGGAAAGCTATTCAGAAATAGGAGGGGTTAATTATCACTATACTTATACTCTAATAATGTGGAAGTGTTGAGCTTTTAATTCAGATTTCAGCTTCCTCTTTAACTTCTTGACTTCTTTATTTATTTCACTTCTCTAATCAGGAAGTTATTCAGAACTAGGAGGGGTTAATTATCACTTATATTCTGGTAATGTGGAGGTGCTGCCGAGAGTGGTGGCAGAGGTTATCCAGGAAGAGTTGTTTGGTGATCTATCAGTAAAAACACTGTAGAAGTGACACTTGGACTTAACCTTTCAGAGTTTACTAGAAAATGGCTGTTTGAGGTACAGATAAAGCCTCTAAGAAGGCCCAATTCTGTGTTGTTGTTTTTTAAAATATCTTTTTATTGATTTCAGAGAGAAAGAGAGAGAGAAAAAAACATCAATGATGAGAGAGAACCATCAATTGGCTGCCTCCTGCATGCCCCCCACTAGAGACTGAGCCTGTAATCCAGGCATGTGTCCTTGACTGGATCGAACCCTGGACCCTTCCTTCAGTTCACAGGCCGATGCTCTATCCACTGAGCCAAACTGTCTAGGACCTGTTTTTTGATGCCCTTTTCCCCTAACCCCCTCGTAAGTCTGGCCTTACCCCTTCTACTCCTTCACTTTTCTTTCTCTTTTTATCTGTGACTTGGGCCTTCTAGTATCACACATGTATTACATAAGCCTGCATGTATCACTCGGGACAAAAGAGGTTGCTGGTGCCTGCTCTGCATCTTCTTTTTTTTTTTTTTTTTGCTGGAAGCAAAGCTTAGCGGAGGACGACATAGCAGATCTGCTCCTGATTTCAACTCAGCCTTAACCTAGATGTTGGACTGTGAGCAAGTCATTTAAGCTCTGAGCCTTTTGTACCCTTTATCTATAAAAATGAGAGTTCAAGGAGATTGTCTCCAACGTTCCCGATAGCAATTCTCATTAAGATGTCTTCTTCATTCCTCCCAGGAATTTTGAATTGTTCTCTTTTGTTTTAACCAGAGGCCCACCTTTGTTTGTTTTTATTTTTATATGACAGCCTTTTGGCCATAACCAGTCCCAGCAAGACATTCTGCAAGAAAATACTATTCTTAAAGCTACTGAAGTGCAGTTTCCGCCAAAGCCAGTAGTAACACCTGAAGCAAAGGTAAGTTCTGACCAAACTGGCCAGCAGAAATGGCTGCTTTGCTTTTTGTATTATTTCTGTGGGTGATAGTAGATGGGTTTTTAGTACAAAATTTAAATATTAAAATACCCTCTTCCTTCCAGATGTGTATTTCTCCAGCCTCTACCCTTCTCTCCTCCACGAGTATTTATTGAGTGACTATTAAACAGTAGACAGTGCAGAAGGAACTGTGAATGTGTAAACAATGAACTATAGCCTAGCCGGTGTGGCTCAGTGGTTGAGCATCAACCCATGAATCAGGAGGTTGCCGGTTGGATTTTGGGTCAGGGCACATACCTGGGTTGCGGGCTTGATCTCTAGTGTGGGGTGTGCAGGAGGCAGCCAATCCAAGATTCTCTCTCATCGATGTTTCTGTCTCTCCTTCTCTGAAATCAACAAAAAATATATATATTTTTTAAAAAGTGAACTACACAGATAAGGTCCCTGCCGTTAAAGAGTCTGCATCCCACTAGTTGAGGCAAACAATAACTAAAAATGATACATTTCATTTTCATGGTGATAAATGTTATAAAGAAAGTAAATCAGAGTAAGGGACTGGAGAAGTAGGAGGCCCCCCCCCTTTTGTGTGTGTGTGTGTGTGTGTGTGTGTGTGTGTGTTTTTAATCAATCTTTATTGTTCATATTATTACAAAGGTTTCTCATTTCTTCCCCCCTCCACCAGGATCCCACCTCACCCTCCACCCTCTTCCCCTCCCCCATTGTCCTCATCCATAGGTGCACAGTTTATGTTCAGTCTCTTCCTCCCTCTCTTTCCCTGATAGTAAATCCCTTTTTAGATAGTAAATCAGTTACTTAGCATTTTCTCATATCAATAATACCTCCACATGCCCAAAGATACATTCACACAAAAGACATTTCCAAATAGGTCAACCAACCTCATCCAGGCCCCGCACAAGGCACTCACAGATCAACACCCCAGCCCTATACTAACTCAACACATCCAGATCTAAGCCTTCATCACTTGATTCAGCAGACCCTCAAGTTCCCACAAAAGTTTCCAGCCATCTCTGAGAGGCAGCCTTGGGGCGGGGGTAGGCGAGGAGTGAGCTGTTCCGGGCCTGCCTGGCTGCTCTGGGCCTGGCCTCTGTTGCTCTGGTTCATTCCACAACCAGCTGCTCCGGGTCTGGCCACTGCCGCTCCCGACCTGGTTGCTCCGGGCTTGGCTGCTGCTGCTCCGGGCCTGGCCGCTCCCAGCCTGGCAGCCACTGCTCCGGGCCTGGCCGCACCCGACCCGGCTGCTCCGGGCCTGGCCGCTCCCAGCCTGGCAGCCGCTGCTCCAGGCCTGGCAGCATCCGACCCGGCTGCTCCAGGCCTGTCCGGGGAGCCCCCCTTTTGATGGTGTGATCAGGAAGGTCTCGGTGGTGAGGGGAGGTTTTGAGCAGTCTTGAATGATGTGAAGGTGGGGGGCCATGTACAGATTATTATGAGCAGAGAAAAGTGAGTGAAGCTTAGGTGTGAGTGTGAGCTTAGCAGGTCCACAGTGAGGACAGGGCAGAGGAGAGAGCGGTAGGAGAGACAGCAGGGCAGATTGTGAACTGATGGAAAGCAGTTGAAGGTTTTAATCAGGGCAACTATGTGATCAGATTGCTGTTTCAAAAGCCTTTACTGGCAGCTACATAGAGAGAAAATTCAAGATGTAAGTTTATTTGATGAGTGTCCAACCCAAGAAAACCTATTTAATTCTAGTTCCAGATATTTCACTAGGAAGGATTTTTTTTGTTTGTTTGTTTTTTCTTTTAATCCTCCACTTGATGATACAGAAGAGAGAGGAAGGGAGAGAGAGAGAGAAATATTGATGACCGATGGTGAGAAAGAACATTAATTGGTTTTCCTTCCATATGTGCCCTGACCGACCGGGGATCAAACCCACAAGCTAGTTATGTGCCCTCATGGGAATGGAACCTACAGCATTTTGGTATAAGGGATGATGCGCCAACCAACTGAGCCACACCAGCCAGGACAAGAAAAGGCTTATTTTTTCATTGATTTTAGAGAGAGGAGAGGAGAGGGGGAGAGACAGAGAGAGAAAGAAAGGTATCAATGTGAGAGAAACACTGATGGACTGCCCCCTGCATACCCCTCCTGGGAATCGAGCTCAGTACCAGGGACATATTCCCTGACTAGGAATAGAACCACCAAATTTTTGGTACATGGGGCGCCCAACCAATTGAGCCACACCAGCCAGGGCAAAAGGTTTATTTTTAAAGACAAAGGATCATTATATTCACTTCTGTGAATTTGTTTTTATCTTACAAATGCTTTAATCAAGTAATTACCTCTAGATGTCCTTTATTTTGAAAAACAGGATTTGTTTATACTTTTGTGTTTTATGAATTAAACATGGGGGGGATAGAAAAGCAATTATTTATTTCATGCTTTAGATTTTTTAAAATGGACTTTATTTTTTAGAACAATTTTAGATTCACAACAAATTTGTGTGGAAAATAGTTTTACCATATATTCCCTCTCCCCCCCCCAACACACACACACACACACACACACACACACACACACACACAGCCTTTCCCACTGACAGCAGCCTGCACTAGCACAGACATTTGTTAAAATCAGCGAACCTCCGTGGAGATGCCATTATCACCCTCAAGTAAAGTATGGACTTTGGATGGTGGTATTTTAGATTTTTAAAAATTGATTCACTTTTTAAAAATAATTACAAGACTTTAATTAAAAAGAATTGTCTGGTGAAAAAGATAGATCATCTACTTCTTGAAGAATAGACTACATAGCTTTTCATATCTAATGCCAAGGAAACCTCGGTGTTAGTAGTAAATTAGAATTATAATCAAACCCAACTCTGTTTTCCACTTTATGTCTTTATGCCTTTATGTCTCTTGGGGAGACAAGTCCTATCCCTGTTTTCCTTTACTACTTAGTTATATGTCCGCTCGTTGGCTTAGCAATCTTTTGGGGAAGAACGAGATACACAGGGGAGGCATTTACCAATCTGTTAGTGTTAGTCATTCCAATTCCCACTTCCTCAGAAAGGTCACAGGAGGCCATGGATTGTAGATGCAGGACCATGACTGTAGATTGTTCCCATGCAAACCAGCCAAGGCAAAGAGAGTTTGTTGTGTTGGTCTCTGCTTTGGGGGCAGAGGTATTTGGATGTCATGCCCATTCCCCCTCAGGAATGGCTCCTCCCCCTCCATCTGGGAAGGAGTCAGTGACCACAGAGAGGTCCTACTGCCAGTGCGCTCCCGTCTGCTCTTCTCCGGGTCCGCACGGCAGGTCCAGGAAGGGCTCTGGCAGCTGCTAGGGAACCTTAAGTTTCCCTCTTGGGGCACCAGGTCACCTGCTTCAGGCTCGCTTCACGAAACATTTCTTTCAGGCATTTATTCGGCGATGCTTGGCCTACCGAAAGGAGGACCGCATCGATGTCCAGCAGCTGGCCTGTGACCCCTACTTGCTGCCTCACATCCGAAAGTCGGTCTCCACAAGTAGCCCTGCTGGAGCTGCCATTGCATCGACCTCTGGGGTGTCCAATAACAGTGCTTCGAATTGAGACCCACTCCTAGGCCACAGACTGTTCGACACGCACAGTGGACAAATGGCATTCAGCAGCGGGTTTGGAACATAGCGAATCCGAATGGATCTCATGAAACCTGTACCAGGTGCTTTTATTTTCTTGCTTTTTTCCCATCCATAGAGCATGACAGCATCGATTCTCATTGAGGAGAAACCTTGGGCACCTCTGGCCAGGCCTCGTAGGAAAAGGCCCTGCCTGAGGTCCCGGCGTCAACGGCCACTGCGTGTGGCTGCTCTGAGTGAGGAAAAAAATTAAAAAGAAAAACTGGTTCCATGTACTGTGAACTTGAAAACATGCAGACTCAGGGGGGTCCCTGATGCAGTGCTTCAGATGAAGAATGTGGACTTGAAAATACAGACTGGGCTAGTCCAGTGTCTATATTTAAACTTGTTCTTTTCTTTTAATAAAGTTTAGGTAACATCTCCTGAAAAGCTTGTAGCACAAAGGCTCAGCTGGGGATGGTGTTTGACTTCGGAGGAAAAAAAAGTTGCTATTGCCCGTTAAAGGCACTAGAGTTAGTGTTTTATCCCTAAATAATTTCAGTTTTTAAAAACATGCAGCTTCCCTCCCCCCTTTTTTATTTTTGAAGAATACATTTGGTCACAAAGTGAAACCCGTATTAGCAAGTACGTGGCAATGTTCATTCCAATCAGATGCAGCTTCCTCCTCCGTCTGGTCTCCTGTGTGCAATCGCTTCCCTCGTGTCAGTGGGGAAAATTGAGTGGGAGCACTGAGAGGTGTGGGCTTCCGCCGTTGGGTAAAGAATGAAGTTAAAGACTGCAGCTTGGGCCTCTCTAGGTTTTCAACTATTTCTTCACAATTTGAACACTTGACGGTTGTCCCTTTTAATTTATTTGAAGTGCTATTTTTTTAAATAAAGGTTCATCTGTCCATGCAGTCCTCTTGGATTCTCTGAATGTAGTAACTATCGCAACTGTTCCAAAGGCAGGCAGAAAGCGGGCTGGGGAGCCAAATCCAGTGCCCCAGGGATCAGGAGTTCCTACCCACAGACTCTGTGTGCTCGCTAAATGGTGCACATGACTTGTTAGCCACAATATTAAAACTCGATCAGCACATAAGCTTTTCTCTATTAGATCTTTTGGCAGGAAATAACCTTCAATCTCTAAATTTTGTGGGTGTGTGCTAGTGTGTGTGTGTCTGTGTGCATGTGCACACGCACTTTGTCTAACTCACTTTAATAGATGCCCTAAGTGGAGGGAAAACATAATCTCAAGGGAAATAGGTATTTCAAATATGAACTCTTTTTGGAACTAATATTTTTTTTAATGTGGCTGTTTCTGATATGTGATCCACTGAAGATGGAGCTGAAATGGGAGCTTGTGGTCTTGGAACAGCAGAGCGCTCTGCAGTGGAGAGCAGAGGCCAGAGCCCAAACATGTGGTAGCCAGCTTGGAATGTCACTGACATATGTGGCAAAAGGCCTCAGCCAGAAATATTTAAAGATGCAGCATTCAGGCATGCGAGCTCTCTGGGCAGGGGGAGGGGAGTCAGGAAGGGCAGAGAGCTCTCAACTAACTCAAGACTCGTGTTTCTGTCATGTGTGATAAATGCCATTGGTGACATGTTTTTAGGGCCTTTGTTCTCCGAACCTGCCTCTCGCCCCAGTGTCAGGCCATCTTAAGGGAAGAGGAGTTCCACATTGGAGAGAGGCCTGTGGGCAGGTAACATCCTGTGGACTCTGGACGGAAGAAAGTCAGCCCCAGGGCCTTTGGCGCCACTAGCTTTCTAAAGCTGTTTTATTGCAATGTATATTTATACACACGTGCACATAGACACACAAATACCTGTGCACACATGATGTGTGTACAAAGTACCTTTTTTAACCCTTACAATCAAGCTACAAAGCAAAGAGTACTCAGGGGATCTCAAAGGTTGAGCACAATGCCACAAGGATGGTGTCTGCACGTGAAGAGATGGATGAAGTTGACACTAGATTTGAATTTACTCCAAATATTAAATTCTGTTCCTTTTTTCCTCCCTCTCCCTCAGTAATCTTATAAAAATTTTTAACTTTTTTAGCAGTTGAAGAAATGCTGCATCTTTAAGCTTTCCCTCTGACTTCCTGCCTCTTTTCCCCCCACGGGCTACACGAAGCTGCAGGGCTTCCCTTACGTTTTCTACCTGCTCCTGAAGGAGGGATGCCCTCTCTCCTTGTTTCCTGAGTCTGGGGCCTGGTTGAAGCTGCCTGGGCTCGACTGAGTTTGGGCAAGGCCTCTCTCCACTGCATGGACCAGCCCCAGGAAACATGCAGAATGTTGACCTTTACCAGACTTTGAAATAGCCAACGAAATCACTAAGTGGGGTTCTTCCACGATATATTTTGTTAATATGGGTTTCACTTTTTCCAAGGATAATCCCTTATTGCCATGATGTTGATTTACTTTAAACTGATTTTTAAAAAATGTGTATTAATTTGTAATGAAATCCAGCCAGACTGTTTTGGCCTTTCCCAATCTGGGGGGGTGGGGAGGATATTAAAAAAAAGTTTTAAGAAGTGAATTTCCCAGCCTCTTGATTTTACTCTAGTTCAAACAGCCCTTTCCATCTAGGGCATAGCTGGGGAGCCCTGGCAGTTTGGCTGAGACCCAGTGGGAATGTGTTGATTGGTGCAGCACCTTTTACACCTCGGATGTGCTAACAGCTGTGCTTCTGGGTGGGAATGTAGCAGAGAACAGACAGGGAAGGCGCAGCCATCAGTTCACAATCCAGGGGTGAAGGCACTGAGCCTCAGGAAGGGATGGAACATGGGGAAGGAATTGGGCTCTGAATTATCCATTGTGAGACGGGCAGCTTTAAAGTGGGGATTCACCATGGAGAGCCATATGCACCCCCCTTCTGTGGCTGATCTGAACACGTCTGCTGTATTTTTAGGTTTGTTTCCCTGTTTTCTGCTCGTCCAGGAAAGAGGTACTCCTCCAACTGAGAAGATTAACAGTCAGGGAGCTCTTGTGTTTCTTAATTTAGAAAATAGCTCTCTTTAAACATAGTAAATATAGTTGTCTCCTATAATCTTAGAGTCAGAAGCCAGCTGCAGGTCCAGCTCCTTGCTTCTAAGAAGACAAAGTTTACTAGTAGCTTGACCCATCTTGTTGGGTTTTTTTTTTTCTTTTTTCTGAGAATCCTTTCCCCCTTATTCATCATCCTAATTGCCCAAGCTCTCTTTGTTTGTAATTTAAATCTGCCTGGGGTAAGAGGGAATGGGGCATGCATGGTACACAGCTACTTGAGGTACGGGGAATCCCTCTTCCTAAAATTGGCTCTTCTGTCTTATGGCAGAATTACCTCGTGGTCAAGAAAGAGCCTGGGCTTTAGAATTGGGTTCAGATCCCACCTCTGCAAGCTTCTGCGGTAGCTCCTCGCATGATTTTATTACAGAGTAGAAATAAGGTTTGTAAAGTACCTGATACATAAGAGGGACATTTTTAAAAATGTGGTTTAAAAGGATCACAAGCCCAGCCGATGTGGCTCAGTGGTTGAGCTTCTACCAGTTATGGTTTGATTCCCAGTCAGGGCACATGCCCTGGTTGCGGGCTCGATCCTCAGTGTGGGGCATGCAGGAGCAGCCAGTCAGTGATTCTTATCATTGAAGTTTCTATCTCTTCTCCCTTCCTCTCTGAAATCAATAAAACATATTTTGAAAATAAATAAATAAAAAGATCACAAAATCCAGTAAGTGGGATTGCTGGTCCTGGGACGCCCAAGTTTGCTGGTTGGGGTTCAGAGCCTTTCTACTTGCCAGACTATCAAGAGAGCCTTTGTCTTTGGTAAGTGATGCAGACCTTTTGGGAGCCTTACCCTCTGGCTTGAGATTTAATATCAACCTCTGTCCTGTGAGGTCAGCAGTCTCTGGCCCAAGACTTCTTCCCTCTAAGTGTGGAAAGAGCATCTTTTAGGCCAGTGAGACCCAGGCTGGCAGCATCACTTGGGAACCTGTGAGGATGCAGTACTCAGCCCTGCCCCACCCCACCCCACCCCAGCATTCTCTCTGCCCCCCAGGTGGCACGGGCACTGCTGGTCACAAGTCCTGCAGAACTTCCTATCAGGGTGGGGGAGGCTATCAGGCCTTATCTAAGCGTACCCCTCCAGAGGCGAGATGACTTATTTTCTGTTAGGAATAAAAATCTAAGCTCTGGGCTGTCCTAGGACTGATGTCATACATATGCTCCTCTATGGGGAGCCCTAAGAGGGCCCCTACATCCTTTGGTACCTAAACAATACACTCAAGAATCATTCACTCACTTACCTTTGGCCTTTTAAAAAAATAAATAAATAAAACTACTTAACCAGTACCTTCTCGTGAGTGAGTTAATTTTTCTTTTACCTGAGGGATCCAGAGCTGTAGGACAAAGCTGAGGCCTGGGTCTGCTTAGGAAGCCAGCTTGGCAGCCTGGCTCAGGGGTGACGAGAGCCCAGGAGGGGATTGGGAAGGAGAGAGCATGGAGAGGTTGCAGGGAGAGGAAGGTTGGGTGGGAGTGGGGAGTGGCTGCTGCTGAGCTCTGCAGGTGGGCTGGGGGAACCTGCCAGCGGCTGGGGAAACTGTTGAGCCAGGGAGCAGGTCTGAGTCCTGGTGGGGGCAGGGAGGACAAGGGCCCCATTGTGCTGGGGGAGCTCAGCAGGGGCCCTAGACAGTCTGGAGTCAGCAAAGGGGTGTGTGTGTGGGAGGCGGGGGTGGGGGTGGGGGGCTGGGCAAGAGACCTGTGGTTCGATGGGGTCAAAGAGCAGCTGGCTGGCTAAGAAGGCCCCACCACCCCTGGCTGTGGGTCAGGCCCCCTGGGTGTGGAGGTAGAAGCGCCCAGCTAGAGAGCTGTGGTAACCTCAGCCTCGTTTAAGCCTCGGAGCACAGTCTGCAACTGTGGTGGCCTCCCGTGCTGCCCAAGCCTTTTCGCCCTGAAGGCAGCTTGGGGAGGGGCTGCAGAGGGCAGGATTGACAAGGGAAGGGGATCTAGCACTGCTGC